TAATGAGACCATGTATGTATGTGAACTACAAGGTAGAAAAGCAAAAGCACAACAAACAAATCAATCAACTACACCCAGGACAGCTCTTTTTGAAGAGCTGCCCTATTCGAACCTACGACACTCTGCAGTCTAGGCGAGCGCTCTACCAACTGAGCTACCAGGGCAACTCAACTGGTAAGGGTTCAAATCTTCAACACAATACAACATAAAGGCAAGCCTCAAACAACGAACATCTTACTTGCAATGGTTCTCCCTGGATCCATACCATAGCCTCACCCCCCGAGTCCCAACGAAACCGCACCTCTTTACCCACCCACTCATCAGGGACTCTCACTTCCAAACTGAACCAATGGGTACTCCAACTAGACAGACAATAACACACACCGAGTCTCAACTGACACACACTAAACCAGTGGGTACTACAGTAACACAGTCTCAACTGCTAGCTACACACAGAGAATGCTGCTGGCCCCTTCATAATGTATCACACAAAAAAGAAGATTTTCCTTGTGGGATGGACTTGAATTCCGAAGTAAAAAGCTGGATGTTTGCAGGTATGACACAAGTGAACTCAGTATGGAGGTGGAAAGCTTTGGGTATGTCTCTCACGTTGGTCCAAGTGACACATCTTTGGTAGCAACTTCAGTAGTGGAGCTGAGGGCTTGCTGAGCAGCTTGAAAACTGATCCTCTGTTGGCCGGCATTGTACCAGTGGACACTTGGTAGGGGGAGCCTTACAGAGTACAGTCTAGGAAATGAAATACTTAGCGTGTACTCTATGCTATGTAGAGGCTTGCCTTCCTCTGAGGTTGACATCTGTGAAGTAGGTGTCTGAAATAAACTTCTCTACTCTTTCCAAAGTGGCTCTCCAATGCTTCTGCACTGCCTGTACCTGTGCCATGCCTGCATCCATCCTGGTGCTAGAAGGTCAAAGGTTACTCTTGCCCCATTATCAAAACCTCGAGGCTATTATCATCCAGGAAGCATCCAACCAACTATTCTACCACCAAACAGTGTACACTATATAATCAGCTAATGTGAGATTTGTGCATAACTACATCTACCAATGTATAGACTCTTATGTGTACTTAGGTTGGGGGCAATACCAAGGGGTGGATACTGAAAGTTGGGATAACAAACACTTGACTTCCCTAGTGGAGGTAAAATCAGTCCCTGTCAGAGAGCAAATCAGAATGCACTGAAAGGCTACCATGGCACAGTTGGTTTGGATTGTTATGCTGATGTGTCTGGCTGTTACTTCACTACCCGTTAGTACCAGCAACAACCACAGCTGTCCGACCTGGTTCTACTACAGCAATGTCACTCAGAGGTGCGAGTGTGGGGCTCAGTATAGCTGGATCACCTGTAACCAGGAGTCAATGGAGGTTCAGTTAATGGATGATTTCTGCATGACCTACTCCGGGCACGAAGGCCTATTCTATGCGGGCTACTGTCCATTCAGCTACAGATTCAACCACACCAACAGACTATTCTCCCTGCTGACTCCAGACCCCGATCTCCTGAACCACACAATGTGTGGTCCCTACAATAGAAAGGGTTTATTGTGTGGACAGTGCATCGACGGGTACGGCCCTGGGGTAACTGTGAATGATAAATGTGTCGATTGCTCAAAGTTCTCCACTGGATCTGCAATCTGCCTGTATCTACTGGTAGAGTTTGTCCCTGTGAGCATATTCTTCTTCTTGGTGACAATCTTCCGTCTTAACCTCACTGCTGGACCAATGATGGGATACTTGCTTTTCTGTCAGGGGCTCTCCTTTTTTATAAAGATCTTTCAACCAACAGAAAATATGTCTGTGGCAGAGTCAGTTTTCCAGGGAATCTTTGAGTTTTGGTCTCTAAATCTGCTCACACCTCTCATCCCCCCATTTTGTATCAGTGATAAACTTACAGAGTTGCATATAACGTTGCTTGACTCGGTAAGTACCATTTGTCTAGTTTTTCTTGTCATCATTTACATCACTGCCATTGACTTACACTCGAGGGGGTGTAAAGCTATTAGTCTTTTCACAAAGCCATTTAGTGCCCTCTGCAAGAGGTTAAACTGCAGCAGAGAAGTCACTAGTAATTCAGTGATACACACCTTTTCCACATTCTTGTTTCTGTCGTCAACAAAAACATTTAAGACCTTTTATGCTTTGTGTCAGTCCACATCTGTGTTCTCCAATACTGATGGAGTGACTAAAAATGTTGTTTTTGCTGACACTAGCGTCCAATACTTCAGTCTTACACATATTCTTTTTTTTATTGTAGCATTCGTCCAGTGTCTAGTTTTGGTGTTTTTCCCACTCTTGCTACTCGTCATCTACCCAACTAGAATTTACAGATATCTTTCACGTTTCATTAGTACGAGAAAACAGCTGGCCATTACTGCATTTGTTGAAGCCCTGAACGGCCCCTTCAAGGACGGTTTGAACGGCACTACAGACTATAGGCCACTGGCTGGGGTCGTACTGTTTGGAATTCCTTTGTTGACTGTTTTGTGGATTACCATGGCAAACGCCACCCCAGTTTTTAGTACTAATACATCGTTCTTCCTCCTAGCATCATTATTTGTATCATATAGTAGACTGTTTAAGTCAACAATTGCAAACATGTCACTTAGTTTCTATTTTATATTGTTTTGGGCATTTCAATGGACAGCCTACATCTGGATTAATGATCTGAACACCTCCACCGCGACACTGAGGCTGATGTTTACTCTCATTCTGCTAACATCCCAACTCCCTGTGTCAGCCTGGGCTCTTTACCACCTCACTCGCTACATTTTTATGAAGATTTCAGAAAGAGACAGAATGCCATAGCTACCATTAAATATGGAGACTGTGCGTGACAGAACATCCTTGTTAGATTTTCGTATGTTATCCTTGCTCGTTTGCATAAGGAATGTGTGTATGCATGGGCATATGGACACCAGGCCACAAACAACTTGTTTGCAATTTCAGCAGCTGCACCCACCTTCAGTATGTGTTTGATAAAGTCAATATCTCACAGAAGCCCACTAGATACCATGCGCAGCGTGTATAATTCGAGAGGCTGTCCTTGACTAAACAGCGGTAGTGTATATACAGTGATCACATGTTAGTTAATGGAGGGTCAACACATGGTGTACAGAGCATGTTGGTGTCTCTGCGTCTTAATCGATGCGCCACTGCACGTGTCTCTTGCTTGGTTGTCCCAACAGAGGAGAACATTCAATTGCGGGGTTACGATTGACAGACGAACTGTTCAGTTTTTTTGGAAAATTATTTCAACATTTTAACGTACACGTCTGCTATGGTACCAAATAATACGGCAGGTGCTAGGAAAATGCGGCAAACAGTGATCATGCATGATTATTGGGCCGGTCGTGAGGGGTGTCGTGTTACTCTTTGTCTCGATGACTAGACTGAAATCACCTCCGAGAAAGAACGTCTGTTCGTATTGCATAATAAAGGCATTTGATTGTTTGATGAAGTACTGAAAATCCTCCGAATCACATGAAACTGGGACACATATTATTCCAAACTTGATTCCTATGGGAACGAGTGTAGGGTTTGGGGGTGGCTTTACGACAATGTAAGCGGTAATGGGTGCAGACCAAAATTTCACTTTTTTGCCAATGTTCAGGTCGAAACCTCCCGCCATAAAAGTGACGCCTCCGTAGTATATACTCCGTGGTATCGCTCACGGGCTGCCTCGTAGCCTATAGTGTGAGAATAGCTGCTGACAGACAGACACACACACACAGACCAAATACCGTAACCCTCGCTGCGCATGCGCGCCGAGGGTTAATAATTATGAGTGTGAGTGTATATGACCAAAATACAAATCATTAAATGGGTAACAGCAAATCTGTTGCGTGTGTCTGTCTGTGCATCAACTGGTGCAGTCTCGAAAGTCACATAAAGTCGAGGTCTAGCGTGCGTCGTGCGTTGGTTGGTAGTAAGGACTGGCTGAAGGGTGCGTGTACACAGTTTTCTCATGGTGACGTGTGCCAGCTTCCCTCACAAGTTGTACGCCACGTAAATGGGGACAAACATCCTTGTGGGATTTTCGTATTGTTATCTTTGCGCGTTTGCATAAGGAATGTGTGTATGCATGTGCATATTGGCACAAGGCCACAAACAACTTGTTTGCAATTTCAGCAGCTGCACCCACCTTCAGTATGTGTTTGACAAAGTGAATATCTCACAGAGGCCAATGGATACCATGCGCAGCGTGTATAATTTGAGAGGCTGCCTTGACTAAACAGCGGTAGTGTATATATAGATAGAGTGATCACATGTTAGTGAATGGAGGGTCAACACATGGCGTATAGAGTGTTTTGGTGTCTCTGTGTCTCTTAATGCCAACTGCTTTTTTGTGAGTCTACTGTTAACTGCCCCTTACAGTACATATAAGGCTGAAGGGGAGGGAGGTATATAAAAGTTTTGCGACTAATGTGAGGGAGTAGTAACTCGGCGCGCATGCGCAGCGAGGGTTACAGTACGGTCTGTCCGTCCGTCTGTCCGTCTGTTACCACGTTTTCTGCCACCACGCGCGACAAACAGGTAAAATAGCGACACCAACGGGTTCAGCGCTACACTGGCTTCAATTTTAAAATGGCGATTTTTGTAAAAGTGCCGCGTTGAGAAGTTATGGCAAGTGAACAAGCCAATTGCAAATTAACACAGGCTTACCTCTGCTTGCTCTGTGTACCTTGGAGGCACAAGAAGTCACAACGAAGGGCGTGTATCGACTCCCGCATGCTATCTACTACTGTAGCTAGCCCGAGTCAGACTCTCTGCGAGAGCTACTCTAGCGCGAGACCACGAGTAAACGCGCATACTACAAATAGCCCAGCCCATTAATTAGCGGTACCGCGCATGCGCAGTTCGCCGAGGGTTTGCACTTTACTGCTTTTCATTTGTCTCAGTATTTAACACAGCAGGAATCATGGGATGTGATTTGCGGTGTCACCAAACACTAAACTATGATACAACTACATCTTAAACCCTGCAACACATGGTATGTAGTATAAGCAGACACCTGGTTGCTTAGTATTTTTAAGCAAGGGCAAATTCTGCCACAGTTCTGCATTGCCTAAGTGTTACTTGCTTCATAGTTACTAGACAACTGTCCTTCCTTACTACAGGGTGGGGTGGTTGCATCTACGTATAGTGTGTAAAAATGTTTGTGTGGTGAGGTCGTCCATTTTCCTCGAAAATATTGCCAAGTTTCAGATTATAGTAAAACCCCATGTCAGTGTGTAACGTTTGAGCTAGTCAGCTACAAAGCCAGATACCCATGTATTCTATATGTAGTGTCTACTGCCAACAGTTGTAGTATGACCACTTTACTATTATTATGTGATGTACACCATTTCCTGTATAGACAAAATTGCATTGCCGGTGAGATGGACACACCCAGGTCAGCTACAGTCTTTGGAACTTGGAAAATGGCCAAAGAGTGTCTTCCACAGAGTTTAGTTCCCCACCAGCTCTCCCTGCCGGGTTGTAAGACCCTCCCTCCCTCCATCCCTCTCATCATCTCCAGTTAAGACAACTGGAACCCTCTCTCCTGCCAACTGGAGACTCACAAACAAGACCCCAACAACCCTCCCAACTCTCCACCTCTCTCCTTGCTCAATGTGGTGAGTCGATATCGACCGAGGAGAAGAAAGCATTCTTCCCCCATTTTCTGTGGCTGCTGTGAGACGTGAGTCTCAAGATAACTGACAGGGAAGGTAAGGAGGTGGGGCCGACTGAGTTTATTCACACCCGGGTCCTTGCATCTGAATCAGGAGAGCTGGAGCTGAAGGAAGTCTCCTACAAGCTGGCGAGGGAGTACGAGAGGGAAATGGAGGAGGCTCTGGAAGTAAACCGTGCCAATGGAAGAGAGAAATCTCCTGAGAATCCACCAACAGACACTGAAGAGAAAGAAGAGTGTTCTGAGGGAGGAAATCTTCCGAGTTAACCTTCTCCACTACAGTGATGAAGAAACCCAGTCACTCCTGGACCAGCTGGAACAGGATATTGTGCAGTGGAGTGAAGCAAAGTAATGATGGAGAAAGGAAAGTTGCTGGAGGTCCACTGTATCAATTCACCGTCAAAAATTTCTCAGCATCAAAGGAACACTGCGAAACACTGTTGAAAGAGATCATCAAAGAGGGCAAATTTCTGGAAAAGTTCGAAAATGCAGTAAAGGAACCAATGTGTCTTGATATCCAGAATGACATTAGCTCCATAACCGATAGGTATCACAAAAGTGCTGTCGGACCAGCTGCCAGTGAAGTTCTGGAGAGAGGGCTCTCCGAGCTGCACCAATTCTCGGATATACTACAAAATATTCCTGGTCCACCCAGGAACGTGGAAGTTATCGGAATAGGGAGTGACAGAATAAAGCTGAGGTGGGAACCCCCTGCAGAACACAATCCAGAGGCAGTTGAGGAGTACACTGTCTGCACCAGAGCTGTGGGTGGCGAATGGGAAGAGGCCGTGACAACGGGCAAGACGAGGGTCTTGGTAAAGGGGCTGCAATCACGTGTCGAGTATGAGACATGTGTATTGGCCACAAACTCCCATCAGATTAGGGGCTGTATGAGCAGTGAAACGTCACTCCTGACTCAAATGTCGGCCGCTGATGGTGCAAAATTTGCAGCTCTTACCTTTACTCCGAGTCTTCAAGAGACCCAACAAGCACCGACCAAGCCAAAAGAAGACTGGTCGAAACAAGAATTGTGTAAATTTTACCTCAAACAGGGCCTTTTCTAACCGTTTCTAAGTTTGTTGTGCTCCCTTTAGTTCCGGTAGTAGCTGCAGTGTGTGCAGCAGGAGTAGTAGGGAGCAAAACTGGAGACATAACTGAAGAATGACATTGTGTGTAAAATAACCTGCTGTATGTGCATGTGCACAATACCTGATGAAATCGTCGTCATTCTGCTGCATTTACAACCCTAGACACAATCATTGGTCCGATGCACGTTGCATAAAATACCTTGTTGGCCGAAGTGTGTAGCTAAATTGGCTACACACTTCGGCCAACAGGTTTGTTGAAAAACATTCTCACTGGCCAACTATACACCTCTTTTACTGTGGTGCACATGCACAGGGATACTTCACTTCTGGTCATTGAATGGTGAAATAGTTTAACAATGGCCTCAAGTACTATTGTCAAGTGAATCAAGAGATAGCCCTGAATAGTACTTCTGGGGAATTGAGAACTTGGAGTAGCCAAGACCACAGTAGGATTTTTGAAGGGAATGTGGCAGTATATATATAAGGGCTAAATTTAGAAATGTAAAGACCGAGACACTTACACATGCGTACTCTATAATCTTTAAAGTATAAGAGAGAGCCCACGTGGTGCCAGTCTTGCACTAGTCAAGTCTAATGGCAGCTGCTATTTATTACGTGAATGTGCTGAGACTCAGAACAAGACCCTAGCAATGGGCCGATGCAAGCGCTACTGGCGGGATACCGGGGTTACAGTTACTAAAAACAGAACTCAATTGCATTCTTTAATTGTGTCTCTATTGTTTTGCTCTATCTTCGGCAACATTAATTTTTGATATTTAGCCGTTATAAACTACCACATTTCCTTTAAGTGAAAACAGTGGTAAAATTCAATTACACAATTTAATCGCTAGCTAGCCACGTAGTATGCAAGTTATAAGGTGCGGACGATTGTGTTTGAATAGTGATGGAATTTCAAAAATATTCCTTGCCTGTTATGTTGAGATGTGAGTGGATCACTAAAACAGCTTCCTTACACAGACAGAATGTGCCATAACACAGTGGTTTGAGGTATGCCTTTGTGTTGTATTGCCTACCAGCTGAGTTGCCCTGGTATATACCTCAGTTGGTAGGGCACGCACCTAGACTGCAAAGTGTTGTGGGTTCGAATCTCACCTAGGGCAGCTCTTCCTTTTCCTTGAAAAGAAAGAGCTGTCCTGGGTGTAGTTGACTTGTTTGCTTTGCTTTGCCTTTCTACCTTGATAACTCGTTGACACATACAGACAGCTGGATAAGAATTAGGAAGAACACTTTCCTAATCCAGTTGGTGAACTGTCCAAAACAGTTTTCTGAATTTTATCGCGGGGTAGGACAGGGGCGGGAAATATAAAATGTCTCTGTTACAGAATTTTGAGTCTTTGCCCTCGAACGTTTTACTCTCTATGGTCAGTAGGTACCAGGCACAAAGTATAGGCAGATACTCACTTCACAATATCTGATCCAGTCTCAAAAGTCACATAAAGTCGAGGTCTAGCGTGCATCGTGCGTTGGTTGGTAGTAAGGACTGGCTGAAGGGTGCGTGTACACAGTTTTCTCATGGTGACATGTGCCGGTTCCCTCACAAGTTGTACGCCACGTAAATGGGGTCTATCTGGTCTCCGAGGAAGATATAATGTATATATGGGCCAGATACATCCAAGGCTCTCACAAAAAAGTGATTTTCTAGTGGGACGGGCAGTATTATTGCAGTCAAAAGCTGGATGTTTGCAGGTATGACACAAGTAAACTCAGTATGGAGGTGAAAAGCTTTGGGTATGTCTCTCACGTTGGTCCAAGTGACACATCTTTGGTAGCAAGTTCAGCAGTGGAGCTGAGGGCTTGCTGAGCAGCTTGAAAACTTATCCTCTGTTGGCCGGCATTGTACCAGTGGACACTTGGTAGGGGGAGCCTTACAGAGTACAGTCTATGAAATGAAATACTTAGCGTGTACTCTATGCTATGTAGAGGCTTGCCTTCCTCTGAGGTTGACATCTGTGAAGTAGGTGTCTGAAATAAACTTCTCTACTCTTTCCAAAGTGGCTCTCCAATGCTTCTGAACTGCCTGTACCTGTGCCATGCCTGCATCCTAGAAGGTCAAAGGTTACTTTTGCCCCATTATCAAAACCTCGAGGCTATTATCATCCAGGAAACATCCAACCAGCTATTCTACCACCAAACAGTGTACACTATAATCAGCTCATGTGAGATTTGTGCATAACTACTGACTACATCTACCAATGTATAGACTCTTATGTGTACTTAGGTTGGCGGCAATACCAAGGGGTGGATATTGAAAGTTGGGATAACAAAACTTGACTTCCTAGTGGAGGTAAAATCAGTCCCTGTCAGAGCAAATCAGAATGCACGAAAGGCTACCATGGCACAGTTGGTTTGGATTGTTGTGCTGATGTGTCTGGCTGTTACTTCACTACCCGTTAGTACCAGCAACAACCACAGCTGTCCGACCTGGTTCTACTACAGCAATGTCACTCAGAGGTGCGAGTGTGGGGCTCAGTATAGCTGGATCACCTGTAACCAGGAGTCAATGGAGGTTCAGTTAATGGATGATTTCTGCATGACCTACTCCGGGCACGAAGGTCTATTCTATGTGGGCTACTGTCCATTCAGCTACAGATTCAACCACACCAACAGACTATTCTCCCTGCTGACTCCAGACCCCGATCTCCTGAACCACACAATGTGTGGTCCCTACAATAGAAAGGGTTTATTGTGTGGACAGTGCATCGACGGGTACGGCCCTGGGGTAACTGTGAATGATAAATGTGTCGATTGCTCAAAGTTCTCCACTGGATCTGCAATCTGCCTGTATCTACTGGTAGAGTTTGTCCCTGTGAGCATATTCTTCTTCTTGGTGACAATCTTCCGTCTTAACCTCACTGCTGGACCAATGATGGGATACTTGCTTTTCTGTCAGGGGCTCTCCTTTTTTATAAAGATCTTTCAACCAACAGAAAATATGTCTGTGGCAGAGTCAGTTTTCCAGGGAATCTTTGAGTTTTGGTCTCTAAATCTGCTCACACCTCTCATCCCCCCATTTTGTATCAGTGATAAACTTACAGAGTTGCATATAATGTTGCTTGACTCGGTAAGTACCATTTGTCTAGTTTTTCTTGTCATCATTTACATCACTGCCATTGACTTACACTCGAGGGGGTGTAAAGCTATTAGTCTTTTCACAAAGCCATTTAGTGCCCTCTGCAAGAGGTTAAACTGCAGCAGAGAAGTCACTAGTAATTCAGTGATACACACCTTTTCCACATTCTTGTTTCTGTCGTCAACAAAAACCTTTAAGACCTTTTATGTTTTGTGTCAGGCCACATCTGTGTTCTTAAATACTGATGGATTGACTAAAAAAGTTGTTTCTGCTGACACTAGCGTCCAATACTTCAGTCTTACACATATTCTTTTTTTAATTGTAGCATTCGTCCAGTGTCTAGTTTTGGTGTTTTTCCCACTCTTGCTACTCGTCATCTACCCAACTAGAATTTACAGATATCTTTCACGTTTCATTAGTACGAGAAAACAGCTGGCCATTACTGCATTTGTTGAAGCCCTGAACGGCCACTTCAAGGACGGTTTGAACGGCACTACAGACTATAGGCCACTGGCTGGGGTCGTAATGTTTGGAATTCCTTTGTTGACTGTTTTGTGGGTTACCATGACAAAAAACCACCTCAGTTTTTTGTACTAACAGACTCACATCGTTCTTCCTCCTAGCATTATCATTATTTGTATCGTATAGTAGACCGTTTAAGTCAACGATTGCAAACATGTCACTTAGTTTCTATTTTATATTGTTTTGGGCATTTCAATGGACACTCTACATCTGGGTTAATGATCTGAACACCTCCACCGTGACACTGAGGTTAATGTTTACTCTAATTTTTCTGACATCCCAACTCCCTGTGTCAGCCTGGGCTCTTTACCACCTCACTCGCTACATTTTGAAGAAGATTTCAGAAAGAGACAGAATGCCATAGCTACCATTAAATATGGAGACTGTGCGTGACAGAACATCCTTGTTAGATTTTCGTATGTTATCTTTGCTCGTTTGCATAAGGAATGTGTGTATGCATATGCATATGGCACCAGGCCACAAACAACTTGTTTGCAATTTCAGCAGCTGCACCCACCTTCAGTATGTGTTTGATAAAGTGAATATCTCACAGAAGCCAACTAGATACCATGTACAGCGTGTATAATTCGAGAGACTGTCGTCGTCTGCTATGGTACCAAATAATATGGCAAGTGCTAGGAAAATGCGGCAAACAGTGATCATGCATGATTATTGGGCCGGTCGTGAGAGGTGTCGTGCTACTCTTTGTCTCAATGACTAGACTGAAATCACCTCCGAGAAAGAACGTCTGTTCTTATTGCATAATAAAGGCATTTGATTGTTTGATGAAGTACTGAAAATCCTCCGAATCACATGAAACTGGGACACACATTCCAAACTTGATTCCTATGGGAACGAGTGTAGGGTTTGGGGGTGGCTTTACGACAATGTAAGCGGTAATGGGTGCAGACCAAAATTTCGAAACCTCCCGCCATAAAAGTGAAGCCTCCGTAGAACTCCGTGGTATCGCTCACGGACTGCCTCGTAGCCTATAGTGTGAGAATAGCTGCTGACAGACAGACACACACACACAGACCAAGTACCGTAACCCTCGCTGCGCCGAGGGTTAATAATTATGAGTGTGAGTGTATATGACCAAAGTACAAATCATTAAATGGGTAACAGCAAATCTGTTGCGTGTGTCTGTCTGTGCATCAACTGGTGCAGTCTCGAAAGTCACATGAAGTCGAGGTCTAGCGTGCGTCGTGCGTTGGTTGGTAGTAAGGACTGGCTGAAGGGTGCGTGTACACAGTTTTCTCATGGTGACATGTGCCGGTTCCCTCACAAGTTGTACGCCACGTAAATAGGGTCTATCTGGTCTCCGAGGAAGGAGTCCCTCAAGTGAACTCTCTGTTTCTCCCCACGTGAGTTGACTGGTACTGTCCCTGTAGACAAGGGTAGAGATATGCAAGAGTGAGTGACAAGTGCTACATCGTAGAGACGCGAGTCAGTGACACGTGAAACAACATTGGCTCCAGCAGGTATTGTATTGGATGGTGGGCAATTGGATAAATCAGAAAATGAATTTGAGAGGGAGCCATCTGCAAAAATGTCTCTATGAAATGTTGTGGGCAGGTACAACGAAGTACAAGCTTTGCTACTGAACTTGATACTTCCTTAGACAAAGGTGACTTGCTACAGGTATGTGTAAAAGGACATGCAACTTGTTGGAAGAGACAAAGTTGCATGCAACTTGAACTATGGGTATGATAGACCATGCAACAATTAAAGGTGCATGGGTTCTCAAGGCTGGGCACCCAGGGTCCTGCCTCTTTCTTTCTGTTTATATGTTATTGTCTGTGTTTTTGTATGCTTGGGTATGTTATTGTCTGTTTTGTGTGCTTGGGTGGGGGAGGTTCTTTCTTTTCCTCTGATATTATTCTTTTAGCTAGTATGCTATAAACATGTTTTTTCATGAAATAGAAAGCATTTTTATTGCAAGTTGCGTGGACCTGTCGTATACATTAGAAGATGCATGAAACTTTGTCTCACACAACACAAAGTTGTCACGGCCCTAAGTAAAGCTAGTGTAGGTTCACAATGTGTCGCATTGCCCCATCGCGCCATGCCGTGTCGCCGCGTCGTGAGGATAGAATCCATTTCTATCTTTGCAACACGGCGCGACAGGGCAATGCGACATGTTGCGAACCCAGCCTTAGCTGGGTGAAGGAGATGTCGCTCACCTGGGTCCACGATGACGACAATGCCAGTCACCAGCTGGTGTTCTTCCAGCAGGGCTGTCGTTACCACGGGGACCATGTCCAGAGCATCTCTCTCTTCTCCTCTCAACTCGGCCACCACCACCAGCAGCTTGTTCGACGTGAACACCGCACTGAGAGGGAGAGAGCAGTAAAAGTAGAGTTTATGAATGTATGATCACTCCACCCTAAGTGATACGTCAGTGAAGGTCATTCTTATGTCATGCACTATCGTCTGTGTAGCTGCATACACTAGAACCACTGCTGCAGACACCTTGCTGTAATGTATGCAAGGATTAGCTTCGTCCCCTAGGGTCTTCCTCTCCGTCATTTTGATGTAACCCCTAACTAAGCCTTGGGGACAATAGGCTCGGAGTAAAAAATCCACCAGTTTAATTCTAATAGGGCACGTGTATGATACTCTCATAGACTCCACATGTTTTTTCAGCATTGATCAGACTTACGCAGTGCACAGGCATAAACAGGGACGAAGGCTAGATTCATTACAGCTGAAACTCCAGGAAACACACACCTGCCGATGATGTTCTTGTGACAGCGGACGACAGTGGCCTCAATGTCTGCCGGGTGATAGCGGAAACCTCTGATGTTGAGGGCCTCCTCCAGAGAACCTACGATGTAGACTCCATCCAGTGGGGCTGAGGGGAGAGGAGAGAGGGAGAAGAGAGAGGGAGGGGGAGGGGAAAGTGAGGGGGGAAGAGGAAGACAGAAGGAAGAGAGTATGACACATCCCGGGTAGAGTTGTACGCTGGTGCAAATTCCCTCAACACTCCACATAGATACTCTAGTGTACACAAAGATTTCGGAGAACACAACAAAAATTCGAGGCTTTTGAAGGTGCTTGAATGAGAAATGTAAGCGCTGGCATGGATAGCTTCCCCACTGGGTTACCTCAGATTGCACATCTCGCTCCTTATCTCACAACTGGTTGACGTGATAAGGGAGTACATAAGTCAAAAGGAGAGGAAGAAAGAAAGAAAAATCACCTCCATTCCGTGCAACTTTGTCGGATTTCATCATGAACCCCAGGTACCCGGTGCGGGCATACTTGTCCCCAGACCCGTTGAGCGAGGCCCGGAAATGCTCCAGCGAGAGGGCGTCGTTTATCTCGTCACGGAGACCGTAGTATCCGCTGGCATTGTGAGGACTGCACACCCAGATCTGTGGCAGGAGTGTTAGTGTACTCAATGGGTACGCCCCTCCTAACGAGGACAACAGTTCAACAGAAGAAAATGTCCATATTATTAGTGAAGTTTCCTTAATTCGGGATTGAACAACAGTTGTGTGGAAGTGAAAGTCTACTATGTTCAGCATGAACAATTTATCATTTGTTATACATACAGACATTTCACATTATGCCCCAACTTATGTAGTGTGGTCTGATGGAGTTCAATAGCGAGGGTGTACTGCATTATCTGGCATTAGCCTGTTACAGCTAACTACTGTACAACTCTACAAACCTCTCCAAGCTAAGTGTGCTACTGTAAAACTCTACAAACCTCTCCAAGCTAAGTGTGCTACTGTACAACTCTACAAACCTCTCCAAGCTAAGTGTGCTACTGTACAACTCAACAAACCTCTCCAAGCTAAGTGTGCTACTGTACAACTCAACAAACCTCTCCAAGCTAAGTGTGCTACTGTACAACTCAACAAACCTCTCCAAGCTAAGTGTGCTACTGTAAAACTCTACAAAGATCATTGTGGGCAGCTACAAACTACTGTATACTGTACTGGCATTTCATCTGTAGAACTATATATTATACTTCTTTCTACAGACCTCTCCAAGGTCGGTGTGGGCACAGGGGGCCTTGGTGTCCGGGTGGACGATGGCCACCCGGACATCGGGCAGCACCTTCCCGCTCTCGAGGAGACAGACGGAGTTGGGAGCTCCTCTCTCCAACACAGATATTCTGTCCACGCGCAGGGCCCTCTGGTCAACGTACACCGTGGACGGCTCTGGGTGTTGAGTACCCTGTGGGTGAGGGGAACGGGCTTTATTGCATGGGTTTGTTGAGGCAAGTACTGCGTGGAGGCAAATGTGCGTTCATGAAAAGGGGGAAAACCCTGCGTCATGTGCATTAAAAGGCTGTTGTGAAGAATATATGTAGATTGTGGTACGTAGGTGAACACTTTTGAGCAGTATTCTTTTTACTTTCTTTAGCAAACCTTATGTAATACGTAGAAGAAAGAAGGTGGGAGAAATACATATTTATGAAAAAGAGGGAGGGGCAAGCAAAACCCTGTGTTCTTGTTTTCTCCATGTTTTTTGTCTGTGTGTGGATAGTGGTTGTTGGTGAACCAACTATCTAAGCTTCACATTATGTAATACGTACATACGTAGGAAAGAAACAACAACTTTGATGACACTATTTCACGTGTAGCTATGTAAAAAGGTGGCCTAAAAATAGCCTCAATTGTGTAACTTAGTGCGGGTTTTAATGTTTTAGCGATCTGCTCTGCTTCATAGTGAAGGTCTGGTACAAACATAGTGGCAACAGAGTTTAATGCTTTACCCTGCCCTTTGGCTGGCTCACAGCCTGTAGTGGCAGAATAGAAAATAGACAAACTGTATATATGAACAGACAAATACAAGTTCTGTAACCCTCACTGCGCATGTGCGCCGAGGGTTAAAATACTACAGAGTAGTGTAGGGGAGAGACCTGTAGGCAGATGATGGGGTTGACCCGACAGCCAAAGCTGGTGGAGATGGTGTGGCTCCCGAGACCGAGGGGAGAGAAGAGGGCCGAGAAAGAGGAGAGGAGGGAGAGGCGTGGTCTCTCCTCCCCCACCACCACACACGACCGGACACAAGACAGGTCCACACCTCGACTCTGTACAGAGAGAGAGAGGGGGAGGGAGGGAGGGAGGGAGGGAGAGAGAGAGAGGGAGGGAGAGAGAGAGGGAGAGAGAGAGGGAGAGGGAGAGGGGGAGGGAGTGACTGGAGGGAATCCTTATCGTCCAACAAAATGAATGGCTTTTGTTTCTCCTTACGACAGTGCATACACAGTCATTATCAGTACAACAAGTGTGGTAACTTTTGGGAATGCATAACAAAAGTGAAATAACATTATAGCGGAACTGAATAATACTGAATCAAAGACAATACAATATGAAACGGTTTGTACGTGTAAGCATACATACACACCCGGTTAAAAAGGTTAATTTGCAGGGATGGCTCAATAATGTACAATGTGGGAGGGTTTTGGGCACTTTGGCTACTTTGGAGAACATTCATTGGCAACCTACATACGTACCTAGTCGTCCAAATGAATTGGGGGATTTTCCTATTAATTTCTATATGATGCGGCACTGCATATACCGCAATTTTCCACGTAATTCCAAATACAGGCAAAAAAAATTGAAAGTAATTCTAAAACCCATGAAATATTGAGCTGCTCGCACTCGCTCGCCAAAAACGCGTGGCATTCGTTTCAATAATAAACTATTCTGCCATTAAAAACGTAGCGATAGGACACTTGGCCCCCTGAATGAAATCCTGAGCACCCACCTTGAGCATGTCGGTTGCACTGCCGAGCTCCTTACAGCAGGCCTCGATGGCAGTGTAGGAGCAGTAGGTGTCGCGGATCTTGTGGGTCGATATGACAGAGAGCCAGAGAGAGGCGTTCAACTCCAGGTCATAGATGTTGAGGAGATAGCTGTGGTGACCAGAGTATATGCTGGAGGGAGAGGGTGGGAGGAAGGGGGAGGACGGAGGGAGGGAAGGAAGGAGGGAAGGAAGGATGAAAACACGAAAGGAGAAGGGAAGAATAAGGGATATTAAAAAAATATGTTGCAGTCTTCAAAAGGGTTTCTTAGGCTTGGGATACAGGCCCAATTCACATCAATGCACTTACCATTTTATACCTTCTCTCCTACTTTGCAATCACTCTCCCCTCACCTGGACAAGATGAAGAGGACCAGGCCAAACCCGGAGTAAGGGTCGAGGCAGAGAGCCAGTTCTCTGGACGGATATAATTCTGAGACATGTTGGTGGGCTCTGCACATTCCCATCACTCCTGTGTGAGACACCTGGACACAGAGACGTGTGCACTTCAATGGTAAAAGACGCTCTTTATACAGTATGCTTCTATAGTGAGTTAAATTTTGCTCATTAGATCTTGTGGTTAACTATTGGGTTTATAAAGTCCCCACAAACCATTCCTCATGCAAACAACATACATGTAAAAGAAGTGCATGTCAATAGAACAGTAAGTTAGGCACCTTGCCCTTTGGTATCTATACGTGTGTTTGCTATCAATCCTCTTCAAACATTCTACTCAGCCTCTCATAAATACAGTGCATCTAGACACTCATCTCAACCGTCACTTTACAAGACCGTTCAAGCACATGTTAGCACCACAAGTGAAAGTGAGAGTTTACTTTGACTCCAGAAAGGACGCCCGTCGTGGAGACGTTGAAGTCGATGTAGGCAATCATCTCGGGGGACGGGACTCTGTAGAGACTCTCCAGCTTCTTCTTGGGGACGTCGTCTAGTTCAATGAGTGGCGGGACGGACTTTGAGTCCAGCAGGGGTGCTGCCTCCTGCCCAGGAGAGGGATAATAAAAATGACGGAGGTTTAGAATGAGGGACGGGAAGAAAGGGCCTTTCCTGTGACTCATGATCGGACACATGCAAGCTATGGTGGTGCTCTCAGAGAGTTTGAAAGCTTTTTATAATGTATGTGTCTTTTCAGCATTGACATATACGTTTGTACACGTGAAATAACAGCTCATGCTTTATTAACCGTTTCAACGCGGGAAGCGTATATATACGCTGTCGGACCCACCCCCCTTCCCCGCGGGAGGCATATATATACGCTCTGCCACGTGTCCGCATACATCGCTTTCCTCCGCTGACTGGTGGCGGGCGTTTCCAGTCTCAGTTGTTCACAGCTTACAGAACAACACAGGCTTGTTCCCTGGGTACACGCCCACTTCCTGCGCGCGATCTCTCCGCGCCTGCGCATGAGAAAGTGGCTGCCTATTTCTGCCGCTATACCGTTGTTATAGTTTACTACGCTTGGTACAGGCTAGTTCAGCTTGCTTTTGCAGAACTGAGCCCCTCCTCACACTGTATACCTTTTCAAAGTCTCGCAGAGTGTAGAAATCGACGCACTTCCCGGCTACAACGATCACTCGCGTGTTTGCTAAAAACGCGTGTTTTTCCGCGCACGCGCATGGCGATTGCAAATGACCCACGCATTTCTGCGCATGCGCTCAAAGGGTTAAGAAAGAAGAAAAAACGGAGGAAGATACGTAACATCTCTTGTGTAGACTACTACACCTCCTAAGATACGTAAAACCGTATACCTTGGACTTGAGAATCCTGGCGATATTGTGGGTGGTAAGGACACCCAGGACGTTGCTAATCTCCAGCGTCAGTTTGATGGTGGGCAGGCAGGCCGGAAGGTTGTTGGACTGTGGCGGCCTAATTGTGACCGGAACAAACCCTGGAGAGGAATTATATAGAAAACCATTGCAACAGCTTCTAAAGTCTACATGTGATATATATACATATATACACATTAACACAAAAGAATCTTATTCAGCACCTTTATACACGCATGATCCAAACTCACAAAACGTTTGCACAGAAAATATTTTGCAGCTATGCAGTTGACATTGTTACACAAAAACCTTTCGACAGAGCAGGCAGTGTGAGAACACCAGCGTTCTTTGTGCTGACTGTTTGAATTACTGTTTAATTTATATATGCTCAAAAAACGCCCTCTTGAATAGAATAGACGCTGGTTTCATTGCCGGATGGAAAAGGGCGTGGCACTATGCCCAGCACATTAAGAACTTACTCGGGCTGCACGGTACTCACCGGCATATAGACAGCCAAAGAACGTGGCTACCAGGTCGATGCCACAAGGCATGATGACCGCCACATGCTCTCCTCTGATCTTGGCCTTCCCTCGGTTCAGCTTCTCCACAATGAACGCCGCTATTCTCTCCGCTCTCTTGTGCAGCGTGATGCAGTTTATGGAGCGAGTCGTGTGGCCCTGTAGTGGCGGGATCAGGGAGGAAGGAGAAGATTATCACACTGTGTCTGTGTACCTGTTTTCTATGTGTCATGCGCTCATACTGTATGTATATTAGCTCATACTGTATGTATATGAGCTCATACTGTATGTATATGAGCTCATACTGTATGTATATTAGCTCATACTGTATGTATATGAGCTCATACTGTATGTATATGAGCTCATACTGTATGTATATGAGCTCATACTGTATGTATATTAGCTCATACTGTATGTATATGAGCTCATACTGTATGTATATTAGCTCATACTGTATGTATATGAGCTCATACTGTATGTATATTAGCTCATACTGTATGTATATGAGCTCATACTGTATGTATATTAGCTCATACTGTGCCATTCATACAAACCGTGTGCTGATTTCGTACGTGCTATTCATGCTATGTGCTGGTTCCACTACACCAATGTACAAAACCCACTGTGGAAAAGACTCAAAAGAAGGTAGGGATAAATTGAGAGAAACTAGTGGGACATTTTGTCCATAGTAAAAGAGTTCCGGGTGTTTAAGGGCAAGGAGGTAGGGAAGGGTAATTCCTCCCTCAGTGGGTACGGAGAGAGAAAGATAAGGCGGTGTAAGAGAGGGGCAGACGGAACTGGAGGATAGAGAATGCAACAGTCTTATAGGCTAGTGTGCCGTAACAGCCCACCACACATAAGAGAGAGGAAGAGGTAGAGTGCGTGAAAGAGAGGGAGAGAAACTGGGAGCACACAGAGAAGAGGGGGAAGAGGAGAAAGAGAGGGAGACGGGGTGGGAACCTTAGAGTCCACCATCGAAAAGAGAACGTTCTCGGGGCAGGACTGAGCTCTCCAGGCCAGGACGTCGATGATGTAATTGAACTTCCCGGCTCCGTCCTGCTCGTCAAACGGGATGCTCAGGCTCTGGCCCTTGGTCTCGGCGACTCGACCAGTCACCATGTCCCCCATCAGCTGGGCCGCCCCCTTCACAGCTGGGAAGGTAGCAGAGGCAGGGGAAGAGTGAGGGTTCTTATGCTAATATAAGTTAGATACCGAGTCCAGGAAACTACGAGCATTAGAGAGCCGCGGGGGCCCCGAGCTGTCGGCATTCGAGCGCAGCCAGGACACTACTAAGGGCCCCAAGGCTCTCTAATGTTCGTACATACATGTAGTATCCATGGACGAGGCGTCTTAGAGCTATGGCAACACGTGCACGCAATTCAAATTCAGTGCAGCTGAAACAGCAAATGAGTGCTATACTTTCTCACTCACTGAGAAGACGTTGAAAACAGACTCGCTTTGACCGGCACATTCACAAAACACTGAGGGACTCAACGAACGTATGTTTGTCACAGCGCATGCGGAGCTGTAAAATTTGTTCAACGTGATTTAGAGGTCCGCACATTGACCAATCAGATTGCGCGATTTAAATTAGCAAGCTCTAACATTTGACAGACGGCAGAGTCTAACATGGGTGTGCAAACTATAAACCCAGCAAAAGACAAAATCATGATGTTTAATCATAGACACTGATCCATCAGCTTACTGGTGTGTGGTTTGGGTAGTGGGAGGTTGGTGATGCACTGGTGAGGACACATGAGGAGGTTCACGGGGTGAAGAGTGCCGTCTATGAACCGTGACTTGGTCTCCTGGACGTGCACCACTCCGTTGGAGCCCTGCATGAGAGTACGGCAGACACGACACACACACATTGAGGCTCTGGGCTTAATTCAGGTTCACAGGAGCCTGCTAAGCTGCTACATGTCATCACGGGGTGGCTACAGGTCAGCAATGCTAGATCCTTGCTCACCCTGTGCACATTCTGATGTCAATCACATCAAGCATGATGGAGATTGAGTAAGAAACCGCATATTGCCCTATGACACACACAATGCGAACTTTTATGTCGCATTCTTCATCCCTCAACAACATTATTATGTTGCACAAATCGTAGAAGATATTTCCACTAAATATCACATAATAGGCTCTGGCACTATTGTAAACAAGGCTTCAACAAGCCCTTGAAAAACTGGCTGGCTAGGCCTGGACGTACCACGAAAGACTAGGAAGTCCTGGACTATTTATGTAAAGGGGGGCAGTAAAAATAACCATGGACAGCCTATTCTTGTGGACAAGCATACTATAGAAGGGCTGGGCTATGTTGTATGAGGGTGACAGTAAAACTAACCCTGGGCAGATGATTGTGGTGGAAAAGCATAACACGGAAGACCTGATCTATGTCACACAGCTGAAGTAACCGACCGCTGGCTGCGAGGACTGCAAACGCCATATGCTCGTGGTCGGCCATGATGTATGTATGGAAAGGATGATGGTGAACTAACCCTAGGCAGTCTATTGTGGTATTAGACAAGGCCCGAGCTATGTAGTATGTGGAGGAAAGGGGGGCAATAAAACTACTGTAACCCTAGGCAGATGATTATGATGGAAAAGCATAACACGGAAGACTTGATCTATGTGTAAATCTAAAGGAAAGGATGATGGTGAACTAACCCAAGGCAGTCTATTGTGGTATTAGACAAGGCCCGAGCTATGTAGTATGTGGAGGAAAGGGGGGCAATAAAACTACTGTAACCCTAGGCAGACGATTGTGGTGGAAAAGCATAACACGGAAGACTTGATCTATGTGTAAATCTAAAGGAAAGGATGATGGTGAACTAACCCAAGGCAGTCTACTGTGGTATTAGACAAGGCCCGAGCTATGTATGGAAAGAAGGACAATAAAACTATATAACCCTAGGCAGTCGATCGTGGTATTACAGAAGCGTATATACTATATAAGGGGGACAATAAACTAACCCTGGGCAGTCTATTGTGGTGCACAAGGACAATGCCGTAGAGGTTGAGTCCGTGGATGCTTTCGACAGCAGGGACCACGTTGTTCATCCAGGAGAAGGCCTCCTCGTCCGTGCAGGTCGGCCGCTGTTCTGCCACTACCACCACTCTCTCGTCTCTCAGGACATTGATGGAGAATACCGTGATTCTGGGGATTTGGGGGGGAGAGAAAGGAAAGCTATCACACCAATACAGTGACGTCAGTGTGCCTTTGTCTCAAGCAACAAAAGTTAGACATATGTAGGGCTCTAAACAGAATATAAACAAAAAGCACTAAAGTGCAAACCCTCAGCGCACAATAAGCGAGTGCAGAAGTACACACATGCACGGTACCACTAATTGATAGCCTGCGCTATTTACTCATGGTTCTTGCGCGCTACTGAGAGTCTGCCACGGGCTAGCTAGAATGCGGGAGTCGATACTCGCCCTGCGTTGGAACTTCTCGTGCCTCCAAGGTACGCAGAGTAAGCCTGTGCTAATTTGCATATTTCCTTTTCACTCCGTTTTCATGCCATGACTCTCGAACGCAGTATATACTTTTGTCAAATTTAAAATCAAGCCAGTGTAGTGCTATAAACCTTTGAAATCGCTATTTTGCTGTCTCGTTGCGCGTGGTGGCAGAAAACGTGGTAACAGACAGATTGACAGACAGACATACTCATGAACTATGTATGTTACACCGTAACCCTCGCTGTGCATGCACACCGGTGTGGTTGATAAAGTACCTTCCTCTATAGACGAATGAGTGTGGTTCCACGGCCATCACAGTGGCAATGATGTCTTCGGTGTTGTGTTTGCGACCAGACACCTGAATGAGACCATCCAGAGTCCCACAGATGAACACCAACCCTCCCTGTAGGGGGATGGCGGAGGACACTCAGTGTCATCATCAGTGAACATTTTTCTAAGTTAGATGCCGAGTCCAGGAACCTATGCACATTAGAGAGCCGCGGGGGTGGGCGGCATTTGAGCACAGCAAGGACGCTACTAAGGACCCCCAAGGTACTCTACGGACCATTAACCATTGACGACCATATTTGGGCCCAAACGAGGGATCTTCAACACTAGCAGCGGCAGCTGTCGACATTTGAGCGCAGCAAGGATGCTACCAAGGCACTCTAATGCACGTAGTTTTCATGGATCTAAGCATCTAACTTGTTTAGAGCTATGGCAACGTGTGCGTGCAGTTCCTTAGAGTTCAGGAAATTTGCTGTACGTGATTTAGAGGTCTGCGCATCGACATATCAGATTGCGCGAATTACCAAGCTCTAAGTCTAATGTAGTAAGTCACACTGTGTTTTATCACTAGAAGCTTCTAAGTGGTGGACACACTTGTAATAAACACGTTTACAGCAGAGCGTCCCTTTTATAGCCTGTTTGGACTCACTGATAGCCTACCATAAAAGGGTTTTGATGCTGTGTGTTCTCAACATGCAGTACCAAGACTATCAACTGTGTTCTCAACATGCAGTACCAAGACTATCAACTGTGTTCTCAACATGCAGTACCAAGACTATCAACTGTGTTCTCAACATGCAGTACCAAGACTATCAACTGTGTTCTCAACATGCAGTACCAAGACTATCAACTGTGTTCTCAACATGCAGTACCAAGACTATCAACTGTGTTGGAGTACGCTGGTATAGAAACACTGCCTATAGCCAACGGAGTCCGACACTTGCAGACATTGGAGACTACAGAGTCCTACACTACCACCAAACAAGGCTTTATTCTTATACTCTGTCGATCTACCACGTGTCGTCTTACATCTACAAAACTTTAACTTACATGCAGTTCATAAAACATATCTGCAACTTGAATTCGCTTGGTGACCCACACCAAATACACTAAACACAGGTTCCCCCATTACGGTGAACTACCACACTACTAGGGAGGGGCCCAAAACTTACGTTCCCCACAAATCCGAGGAGTCCACTGCGAACATAGACACCAGTGGTGACGGCCACCTCCTTTGCGTTCAGTGGCTGCACCTGTACGTGTACACCACACACACACACACACACACACACCGAGGATATGGGATACGACTTTACATTTGATTCTGCTGGTTTGCATTTTTTGGGCAAATTTCATGGATTTTATGTAATCGTGAAAGCTTTTTATATAAAAAAAAGTCGCACAGTTCATGAAAAGTTGGTTCACGTAAAAACAAAGGTTTTGAGTTTTTAGTGCAGTAGATCCACATTACAAAATTTATACATTATGATACCATAACTATCCAGGTAAGAAATAGAGATCGAGAGGAGACTACATACCCTGAAGGTGTGTGTGCTCTTTCCCTGGAGTCCCCAGTAGGCGGAGCCTGAGGCCGTGCTCTGGACACATATCTCACCGATCTCGTCCGTCTTGCACAGGATTGGCAGTCCACTCACCTTCACCACCACCACACGAGCTGGGGGGGATCATTTACACGTACATAATATAGCGCCTATAAGCCAAAGTAAGGGTCAAAAAAACGTTTCCAAATTCATTCCGTTCTGTTTCGTTTGGCTTCCATTCGGCTTCCGTTCCCTTCTGAAACGCCGTTCATTTAGCGTTGGAAATTCGTTCCGTTTCATTTCGTTGCATTTAGTATCATTGCCTCATTTAGTATCATTGCCGTACATGCGTTCGCATGCGGACCGTCATTCATGAGATGCGAAGGCCTCACTGGAAAGTATTTCTTCTAGTACCTGCGTGGGTACTGCCTTTTCGGCGTCTAACCTATATCACGAAGTGGAAGGAGAGGGAGTTTACATGTATGTGTACCTCCGGGCATGACAAGTCCAACATCCTGAAGGGTGAGAGAGGTAATGGATCCTTGTTCCTCCACACGAACCACTCCGTAGCTGAGACCAGAGATGGACATTACTCCTCTTCCTGTTGTAGTGGTCGACACCGGTCTGTGGTGTGGTGGGGAGGGAGGAGAGAGAGGAGGGAAACATGGTTGTTGAAATCGTTTATTTGTCAAGGCACACTGACTGAGTTCATACATTCATCATACAATTTTTACCCATACCCATTTATACATGGCGAAACATGTTATTCTGTGTGCATGGACATTTTCAGTACACTTTAATGGGAGAACTTCCGTGATTTGTGAAAATTTTGTGGGTGTGTAAACATGGGGTGGGGACTCAGCACGAATCTCGATTACGTAGTTCTCTCCTCCCACTACATAAACAGTACATTGAGGTCGCAAGAGACTTTTGTATCGTGAATTGAAGCTGTCAGAGGTTCATTTAGAGGGGACAGGGGTGACTCATGCCCCTCTTAGAACCTTGCAAAAAGAGGGTTTGCCCCTCCTCTTGGTCATATCCCCCCCCCAATCAATCTCGAAATGAAGGCCTGGCTGTGCCACGTGTGTTAGCCTAGAGGCAAAGAGTGTAACTGCCGACCTTCTGAGTGAGACGGTGAGGGTCTCGGGAGATCCAGCGCAGGGACAGAGGGCCTGTCGAGACAGCCCCTTGGGTGAGTACGCATCGTAGAATAGGTCACTGGAGGCCAGCGACCCTGGGAGAGGAGAGGGAGGAGAGGGAGGGAGGGGGAGGGAGGGGGAGGAGAGGGAGAGAGGGAGGGGGAGGAAAAGGGAGGGAGGGGAGGAGGGGGAGAGGAGGGGAGGAGAGGCGAGGGAGAGGGAGGGAGAAATAGGGGGAGGAGAGGGAGGAGAGGGGAGGAGAGGGAGGAGGGAGGGTGATATGAGGTTCCCACATAACTTTGTGTAGTTCATACGTACATTGCCAAAAGTTTCCATAAACCTTTCCTACTACATACATGTACATGTATAATTATTATGGTAGGGGAGGGGATTACATGGGTTGGCTCCATCGTCAAGCAGCATCATTCTGACTCCCTCGAGGTTGAGGTCCTTCAACTCCTTGTGGTTGGCCAGAGATATGCAGCCGTTCAGGGCACGTGAGGATGTCACCACACACGTCGCTGGAAAAGAGAGGGGAACACGGTATTTTTAGAGCTGGGTAATTTCAACAGACGTAAGTTGCGTCATTAACCCTCGGCGCGCATGCGCAGCGAGGGTAACAGTACTTGGTTTGCCTGTCCGTCTGTGTGTTGACGCTTATTCTGGCACTACAGGCTACGAGGCGGCCTATAAGCGACACCAATGGCTTCAGAACTACGTGAGCCTGAAAAATAAAATGGCAATTTTCCTGATTTTCCACATGTCGCTGGAAAAGAGAGGGGAGGGGAGTGGAGGAAGAAGACATGCGTAGAGACTCTGTGAAATCTACAAGGTAAGCCTAAAGGGATAGCCTATACTGTGCAGTGAACCAAGCAATATATAGGTACGTGTATAGGCATAAATTTCAATGCACTGTAGAGAGTGGGGTAGGGGGAGACAGGGGAGACATATATAGGGGGACAGGAGGAGACATAGGGAGACATAGGGAGGGGGAGACATAGGGAGCGGTTGAGATTGTTTTAGGCATTAAAAGTGCTGACTTTTGCATATTTGGTGACTCTTACATGAAGTAATAACCCCACTTCACTTCGTGCAGGCACTTACAATTAGCATGAATCCACAAAACGTATGAGCTTTAAAAGTCTACAAGTATTATATTATTACCTTTGTGTCTCTGGATCATGTGCAGCCATGCGGTGGGCAGTGTAGTCATGACATTAGGGGGGACGTACACCACGTGGAGACCGTTGTAGGCAGCTGTCATGACCGCATGCCACAGACCAATGGACCTCTTGGGGTCCTCCGTACATACTATCACCTCTCCTACACCGTGGACGACACAAGAAGTTGTTATGAAACGAGGATAGTATGAATGGTGGATCTAGGATTGTGAAGGTGGGGTTCCGCTGTCTGGAACGTTTTCGACTGCGCTCGTGCGCGCACACGAGGCCGGCAACGCATGCACGCGAAACAACAAAAAGGGGGGTCCCCCTGGATCCGCCACTGATTATATGGAGTGCGTGGTTGGCCTAGCCAGGACTTGTGTATATTACATATTTTCTTAGTACGAGTGAAAATGTGTTTACTACATATGTAAATCTCATAGTAAATCAAATCGAGGTTAATAAGAGCCACAGCGCTGTCTCCCCTCGCAACCAATGTACACGTGTAATAACAAGTGTGCGTCAATTGGGATTGCGTAGTAAGTTAGGCATCTCATACACGTTTCTATTAGCAACGCAAGGGCCCTCACGCTTCTTATATCACTGTCTAACTATTATCAGTTTCTCTCCCCCTTCCTTCCTTTCTTCCACTCTTTTCTCCCACTCTCTTTCTCAAAGAGGACTCACCCTCTTTGTAGAGACAAGCCGTGCTGAGGGAGCGACAGTGAGTGAGTAGAGCAGACCTCGTCACGGCCACACCCAGAGCCGACCCGTCCTTCATCGTTGAATACTGCAGCACCATGGTCACATGACGGTCACATGACAGTCACAATTACGGTTACAAAACTAGTATACTCATATATATACTCATACCTAAGGCAAAAGTGCTCATACATCAATCTTGTACTTTGAGAGTGCAAACTTTGGTATAAGCACATGCTCAAAATGCTGTGGAGGCAGCAGTCTATGATCCTTGTGAACAAGTAGGTATCACAAAATCTAATCGCACATTTGCAAATCTGGACGTAAGTTTTAAATGGCCACATTTTGAACCATAATTGCACAATGTACACTGTGTGTGTGTGTGTGAACTCCGACCTCGATGTAGGTGGGGGCGTCGGCCTGTGGTCTGGGGGGTGGGGACCAGTCCTTGCTCACTTTCGGGAGGTGCTCTGTTACAAACCACGTCAGTCTCGGCCACCCCTACATACAGGACATATATACGTGGGCATATGTAGAAAATACCATGTGATGCCAAGAGAAAAAATATGGGAGCTCTGGGACAGCTGTTTGGGGCTTGTTGGCCCTCATCAGCAGAGCATACCGCAATTTCTCTCTCTGGCATCACGAGTATATACAGCACTGCACAACTAATGATAATGATACCGTACTAAATTGGCAAGCAAGTAAGCCAACCCAGTCATCTGAATTGCACATTTCTAACTATCCGGTGCCTGTAAATTTCGCACCCACATTCGCTCTAGATGTATGGATGGTGGTGTACGGTCTTGTGAGGTGGCTTATGGCAGTGTGTAAGGTGTTTGGTTGCATATGGCAGTGTGTGCCTTGCACTGTGGTTCAGGATCCTGAATACAACGCAAGTTTACTTGGGAGTAAAAACACACACAACAGGGCAAGAAATGGTTTAGATTCCACTAAAAAGCCAGCAGCTATATGAATTTACGCTTTCAACATCAAAATAGTTTCTAACATTTGTTTTCAGTTTGCAAATTTTCCGGACGAGCAAATGCAACGAGTTTGTACAGAACAACTTTTACCTCAATGGGGCCGAATAGCACCATACGTGATAGGATAATAATAATTATAGCTAGAGTGTGAGGATACTACATTTGGTATATAGGTTTTTTTCAAGGTCCCAAATCTGATCTTCACACCTTTTCACTCCCTTCCACCCACATATTGCGTAATTGTTGTGCAATAGTGAGGGTGTTAGTGCGTTGATGAGTGTGATAGAGTATATATGACGACAAATTAAAGGGTGCTCATACAGTAATTGCCAGTAATATCGAGGGTTGGCATTGCTTGTCAGTTACCTTGAAGAGTATGATGTGGTCTTTGCCCTCCTCCTTGGGCAGTGCCTTGGCCGTGGCCTCACTCGTGAGAGCTACTGTCACCCCAAGACTGCCGAGTAGGAACCCCACCTGCTGCCCCCCTGGGTCCTGGGGGGCAGGGGGAGGGGGGAATGCGAGGGGACACGAGGGAATTTGGGAGGGAGAGAGAGTGTGGGGCAGTGGGGGATATGAGAGAGAGAAGAGAGGGGAGGCGGTCAAGGAAAGAGAGAGAGCGAGAGAGAGAGGGAAGGGAAGGGAAGGAGAGTGGGAGGCAGACGGAGGTTCAAAAATTCATTTCTCAAGTCCAAAGTTACCATGATTACAGGGTGATAATCACAGCCTACTGTACGTACATTAATGTAACACAGAACATGAATATCCCAAACATCACCACTGATGCCACTATTAACCTTCACACACTCTCACAAACAGCATGCAGGTATTAAGGAGCATATAACCATGTACTGTGGCGCTACTCCCTCCATACAAAACCCACTATGTAAAATGATCCTGCATAACATGGCATACATGATGTAATGTGTATAAGAGCAACAGTTCATCACTTCACTCCTCCCTTTCACCTACAAATATGTTGCAGTGCCCAAGTCCTGTCTGGGTACTGCAACAGATTTGTTGGATATCCCTAGGCAAACGACATGTATGAACCCTCCTTGCACATGTAGGATTGTATAGGCTGATACAATCCCCCAGTACCTAGCTTCATACATGTTGGTTGCCTAGGGATATCCAACAAATACTAATACAACTGTCTCGCATCTTTAGCTCCTCCCTCTCATCACATATACATATGTACATGTACACATATAGTACTACTAGTACTAATGCTACTAGTAGTATCTCACATCTTTGGTGACTGGAGGCTCGATGGCGACGGGGATGACAGCCGCAAAGATGCAGCCGTAGAGGGCGGTGGCAAACTGAGCGGCCTCGTCAGGTCGGAACACCAGGGCCACTCGGTCGCCCGGCTGCACCATCTTCCCTCCTCCCAGCTTGTTCAGCATGTAGGATGCCACTCTCTGAGATCTGTTAGTGAGCTTACCTACAAAAAGTACGTCAACCATATAAACATACGTGTGCTTCACGACACACTGGCACTAGACCTCACTGCAGACATGCCCACATACAGTAGAAATGAAAAGCACTAAAGTGCAAACCCTCGGCGAACTGGGAATGCGCGGTACCGCTAATTGATGGGCTGGGCTGCTATTAGTATGCGTTTACTCGTGGTGTCCCGCTAGTAGCTCGCAGAGAGTCTGACACGGGCTAGCTAGCTACAGTAGTAGATACACGCCCTTCGTTGTGACTTCTTGTGCCTTAAAGATACACAGAGCAAGCGGACTCGGTATATAAGCGCATGCGCGTTTTCCGCAGCGATAAAAATGGCCGACTACGCATTAGCCGCAGAATGCCGGAAGCGCTCTAGCTTTGCAACGGAGAATTTTCAGAGAAAACCGCCTTTATTTTCTGACCTTCGTCGCCCGTTGGGTAGATTGTATCGTTTCTGGGACGAACAGACATTCGAGAAGTGAGATTGAGAGTAACAGACAGACAGACAGACAGACGGACAGACAAACCCAACTACAGTACCCTCGCTGCGCATGCGCGCCGAGGGTAATAACGCCGTCATAGATTCTAGTACGAGCTCTGTTTGGTGAGCTTAACCTACGAACAGTACTACAGAGGTCACGAAGCAACAGAAGGAACAAACTGTTACGTGTAGTTCGATCAATACACATTAAGACACTATGGCTAGTGGTTAGACTAGAAAAAAGAGTAATGGCCCATTTTAAGGCGGCATAGCCTCGTGACCTTGTTTCAAAGGATCATGCAATACAAACGGAATGCAATTCTATAGGCCATGTTATCGCTCAACAATTAACCTGTATCTCCATAGCATCGCTATTGACTGTGGTTATTGTGTGATGATTGACCAAAGCAAACACAATACAGTCATAAGCTTGCCCACAGAAAACAGCAAATGTCATCAGCTAGGCCACATGTAGAACACATGTCCCATTCATGTCATCCCATATAGCATTACATCACTACGTGAGTACAATATGTTGTATACTTGTCTGCACTGGATACATTATGTAGACTCACAACTTGGCCACTAAGGTGGCACTCACAGGTATATGCACACATCCACGCAAACACAGACGACATTTTACGGTAATTAAAACACCTGCAAAGCCTAGTGTGCCAGGCACAACAGAGGCTCACTAGTACACTGTATGTAACTTGTACCAATATACTGTTAGTGCAGTTAGATTCCACATGGCCTATAAACACAGCAGAGTAACAAGCAGTGATTAGAGGCCATTTCCTAGGCAGTTTGGATCGGACACCTTAGGCAGTGTAAACATACAGAGGTTTTCTTTCAGATATGTATCCTCATAACAGCTCGACAAACACAGATATCACGCTCTCTCACTCACTGTGAAGTGGTGGCGGACATGAGAACTTCACGTGAGGGTCAACCATACTGAGGGCAGGGCTTGGGACAGTGTGTACTGTTGTCTCATACGCAGCTCTCGATAGAGCCACCCCCTATATCCCTCTCTCCCTCTCCTCACTCACTGTAAGTGGCTGGCGACTGAGACCTTCCCGTGAGGGTCCACCACACTGATGGCGGGGCTCTTGGCCAGTGTGTACTGTTGCCCCCTCTCCTCCCTCTCTCTCTCTCTCTCCCCTCTCCCTCTCTCCCTCTCTCCCTCTCCTCACTCACTGTAAGTGGCGGCGACCGAGACCTTCCCGTGAGGGTCCACCACACTGATGGCGGGGCTCTTGGCCAGTGTGGAGGAGTAGTGTTGGACGGCAGCCTCCAGACTCCGGTGCCAGTGGTGCCGACTCTCCACTGGGACACCAACTGCCGGCTGCATGTTCGGTCCGACCGGCTTCGGTGCATTCGGGTCCTCCTCTGGGGCCACTGGACAAGAGGAGAGAGAGAGAGAGACCAGTTATCACAAAGTAATACACAACAGCTTCACCCTACGGTAACTCCCTTTGTTTGTGCCTGCATGTGCGCATTTCCTGGACGATGACTAAAAATGGTGCTGTCTGTACCATAATTACGGCAAAACACCGCTAAAATTGTGCACATCTCTTGCCAATAATGCACTGCATTCGTTCTACATACCTGCATTCATTCTACATAGCTACACTCTAATTAGGGGACAAATCAAGCCTACCTATATAGCATTGCACTTGCACTATATCCATATATACCGTAACGCCATTCTAAATAACTGTAACTAAAACTAGATTTAGAATGGCGTTACGGTACATATGAACAACTAGTCTGTCCCATTCTAGTTATCCTCGCCCTCTGTAGAATCCGAGTGGTGTATATATATCATACGTGTGTCCTGGTCTTGGTAGTACTCCTCTATGGGACGTCTGTTCTTCTTTGGCCGTTTGAGAGTGTTCAACAGCTGCTGGATCTTCTGCGAGACTCCACCCTTCCCGCCCGGGGCACTGCTCAGGACGGTCTCGGGCCCCGTCATCATGGCGGCACCGCTGCTCCCGCCCTTCACCATCCGCAGGGAGCCCTGGTTGTTGGGCGGGTTTGGGCGTGGTCTCGTTGTCTTGGGGGCAGTGGGAGGCGGGGTTGGAGTCGACTGCTGCGTGTGTGCGTGTGCGTCCATACGAGAGAGAAAGGAGTGTGTTAAGCAAGTGTGTTGAAGGGGTGATCTTTGCAAGAAAGAGGAGTGATTATGAATCAGTTTCACTATAGAACTGTTGGGAGAAATTGAAATTTTCCAGACTTGTTGTACTCGAAATCACAAATGGGTATATTTTTACAAAGCGGGAAAAGCTTTTTATTCGCGCTGAATCGTGAAGTGTCCTTAACGAGAGCGGATAAGTGGAGCTCTTTTATGGTGTGTGATCAAATACAGTGGCATGACCTTCAGAACAAATGGCATTGTAGCAATGTAAATCAGTCAAGTTGACTGTGATTTGGACCTATACTAAAATCTATGCCGGGATCATTTCAACATCTTGACAAAATATGGGCACAGTACAATAGCGTGTACATACACAATCACAAGAGCATGTGTGCCTATTCAGTAACTTGTATATTATCCCCCTGTGACTATTATAGCACTGGGAGAATGTACTGCCTATCATCATAACATGACACAACACAATCTTTTCTAAGTAGGCTATCAGGAGGGTACTGTATATGCTGCATGCACATACACTCACTCACACCTCCCCTCCCCATTTGCACTCTCCCTCCCTCCCTCCCCAAGACGTGCACACCCATGTCTCCTTCCCATAACATGTAGCAAGGTATATATACCTTTTGAGGGTGCAAAACTGTCCCATAATGAATGAAAAAGCACTAAAGTGCAAACCCTCGGCGAACTGTGCATGCACGGTATATACCGCTAATTGATGGGCTGGGCTATTTGTAGTATGCGATTACTCGTGGTCTCCCGCTAGTAGCTCGTGGTAACAGACACACACACACACACACACACAGACAGACAGACAGACACACAGACCAACTACTGTAACCCTCCAGCCATGCGTGGGGAGGGTTTTAATTACTGTATTTCATGACTTGAGGGCCATCTATTTCCAAGAAGTGTTTATATAGCCGGCACTGTCTAGATCAAGCCACTAAAATCTGAATCATGAAGAGTTTGTTCTTTTACATGTATTATGTTTCCCAGTCAGTAAGGTGTACATTACAGGATATTCATGTATAGGTGCATGTATCAGTATTCAAGCGGGGAACACTAGAGTGGCAGGGCTCAGGGCATTCAAAAGAAGAAGCTCCAGGACAGACTTTTCTAAACATGTGTGGCTAGGGTAAAGTTGTTCAGTGTATCAACAGAAGGCCTTCCAGAAGCACGCTAAGAGCTTGAGCTTTACATTAACAGAGACCATTGTAGACAGACACTCGTAATCAATAGCTAATCAGCACACACACACACAGTAGTGTGTACATTGACGAGTGCAAACAATGCAAGGGCACCGAAATGTATGTACATATACAATGTATGTACAGTATTCTGAGTGGTACCTTGTATGTACATAGTCGTTTGAATTGGGCGGTTTTTCTACTGACCGAAATCTCTGTGTGGCACAACAGTTCACATGCACAAAGTGGTACAAAGGTCGCTTCACTCGCCAAAATATGTGTTGCACTCGTATCACTAATTGTATCGTGCACCTGCTGAGGAGGAGGTTTGACAGGAGTACTGGCGACGGAAGAAGAAACACTGCCGTTCTCGTCCATGAAACTGGAGGAGGGAGAGAGGCTGGTGTCTGGCATGGTGGCTCTCCGAGACGACATGGGGACGTTGTCTTCCTGGGAGCTTCTACTGGCCAGGGCTGCCTGGACTGCCGCCGCCATTGCTCCTAGAGTGAGAGGGGAGGAAGTAGGTGAGCAAGGGAGGGAAGGAGGGAAGGAGAGCGAGCGGGTGGGGGTAAGTTGAGGAAGGAAGTAGGTTAGCAAGGGAGGGAAGGAGGGAAGGAGAGCGAGCGGGCGGGAGGGAGGGAGAGAGGAAGGAGGTATATTAGCAAGGGAGGGAGGGAGGGAGGGAGGGAGGGAGGGAGAGGGGGAGGTGAGTGAGAGTGGAAAGAGGATTGAGGGAAACAAGGTAGCAGAGAAGGTAACGAAAGACAGGGTAATAATGAGGAAGGACGGGGAGTGGTGACAAGAGAAGGAAGGAGTCAAGAGAGCAAAGTGTGTGTTTGTGTGAGGGGACTGAAGATGGGAGGAAAGATAGGACTAAAGATTGGGTGGAACACTGTACACCATGAAGTGTGGACTTGAGGTGGGTGATGTATATAGGAGATGCAAAATACAGTGAGCGGTGTGGTGGAGAGAGAGAGAGAGGAGTCATTACTGGAGTCAGCTGTCTTCTCCTGGACAGAGTAGTGACCAGTGTTGGAGGGAGGCCTGAAGTAGGCTGGGGCCGGGGACTCTGACCTGTCGTCCTCTGTTGCACACAGACACATGGAACAAAGACAGAGGGGATGAGGAAGAGAGAGAGAGAGAGTGAGAGCAGGAAGGGTGGAATCATCGAGTAACCCATGCACAATGCAGTAACATTACCCAATACTTTGAGTAATATCCCCAGAAATCTAGTCTCACACCCAGACCCAGAGGAAATGGTCTGGTGACATTTTCTTGTTGTGCTGAATCAGCAGACTTGTGATCATTACATAACAACATGCAAGGACTCGCTCATAAATACGTGACGTACGTAAAGCTTCACTGTATGAGGTCACTCACTTGCTCAAAGTGACATTCAGCGATTTCATTGGCTTGCCGAAAACTAAGACTGCTGAATCAGCACATTTCAAGAAATTGCTATTGCTCATACATATGTCACCAGACCCTTGAGGGTGGGGTCAACGTTACCTGTATTTCTCTGGCAACATACAAGACTACGGAAACCTATACTGTATAGTGACATGGTGTATAATGTACTGGTGGCAAAGTTTCAAGTTCTGTGTTGTGTATATGTTTCAGTTGGCATTGGCTGGTAACCAGGAAGAGGGCATGCGAGCAGCACATGCCACAGGATGTCCAGCAACAACAAGCCACGAGGAGAGTATGCAAAAATTGGCACTAGAAAAATACACACCCCTGAGAGCGAATTCCATGATTTTTTGCTTATTCAACAGAGTGTATACACACTGTACGTGAGGTCTGAGACAGAATAAAGCATGTGCATATTTTTGTGAGAAAGCACAACAGACATTTGAAAACTTGCATACTACATGTAACAATAGACCATGTGATGCCAAGAGAAAAAAGATGCGGAGCTCTGGACATGTACATTTGCTAAGAAGTGAGGGAGAGAGGGGGAGGGGAAAGAGAGGAGAGAGGAGAGGAGGGCTAATCTGGTGGGACAAAGATAACTAGGAAGCAGAATAGGGAAGGGAGAGGGGAACAGACAAAAAGGGTGGGAGGGGGGTGAGCAGAGGAGGCTGAGGGTTTACCTGGCTGGTTGAGATAGGGAGAAAGGAGCTTTGCCTTCTTCTTCTCAAACCCCTGCTGTGTGATGTCACCTAGGGAAAAACGACAAAAGGGAGGAGGGAGAGAGAGAGGAGGGAGGGAGAGGGAAGACGGCAGAAAGGTACCACAGTGTAGGTTGTGAAAGAGAAAAGAGAGGGAGAGGGAGGGAATAAAGTGTTCATCAGATGTGTAGATGTGCAAGTGTGCATTTATTGGGAAAACGGAGCGACCCTATGTACCTAGTCACCATTTGACACAATCTTCATTTAGCTGCTCCATTGCTATTCTCATTGTTGTTCACAACCATAAAGGAGAGGAAGGATGGAGATGGCTGATAAAGAGACTAAGGGGTACGCTATCATTCTATTCAAGGAGAAACAGGGGGACGGAGGGAGGAAGGGAGGAAGGGAGAAACAGTCACAGTCTGACACTGGTCCTTGCTATATATATATATATAGGCCAACCAGGAACTCACTGTGTACACTAACACACACACCACACACACCACACACATACCATACACACACCCTCTCTTGGAATTATCACTGGACCCAGTAATGTAAACAACTCCTGTAATCATTTGTACCAACACACCAACGTAGCATACAACCATTGTTGTGCAAATCTAAGGCTGCTGGAAGCTGCAAGCAGACAAGTCCAAAAGAGTGACTGAAGTTACTAGGTGCATATATACATGAAGTGAGTAGGGAGCCGATTGAAGGCGATTGAAGGCCAGTCAATGAACACATGCTGAGACAATGCGCGAGTGTTTCTCTCCCACTGGTCGTAAACCAGTGAATTAACAACAGTTAGAGTACAATTAACAAGGCATTAAGAGATATTGGATATGGTACATGGATACTAATGACGGCCTGAAACACGTGTACCCGACGCTGTACAGCGGTCTGGGGGTGAGTAACTTGAGAGAAGTGACACGGATTCCTCAATGAAAAAACAACTTTGTCGCCATTTGTAAGGTACAGTCATAATACTATGTTAAGGTCATAATGTAATGTTAGGGAGAGTACATAAGTCGCTTGCCATATGTTAGACAGACAGATCATATGTGGACCACTCGGCTAAATGGGATCAATCATATGGACAGCTGTGTAGCAACAAGGCAAGGGGTGGTACTCCACAGCCTGAACTAGGATACACCCAACCTCACATCTCCCTCACTACACCAATACATACTGGGATCAGGATACCTCATTATCATATGGACAGCTGTGTAGCAACAAGGCAAGGGGTGGTACTCCACAGCCTGAACTAGGATACACCCAACCTCACATCTCCCTCACTACACCAATACATACATGGGATCAGGATACCTCATTATTAATCCTGACACACCTTTCTCAATCAGGACACCGGTTCATGAACAGTAGTAACGCAGCCTCAATGACATAACCTTCAACCTTTTCTCAATTAGGACACCTTTTCATATGCAGTAGTAAATAAACAGCCACAGCCTCAACGACATAACTGCCAACCTTTTCTTAATCAGGACACCGGTTCATAAACAGTAGTAACGCAGCCTCAATGACATAACTGCCAACCTTTTCTCAATCAGGACACGGTCATAACAGATAGCAGCTCAAGAAAACTGCACCTTTTCTCAATCAGGACACCGGTTCATAAACAGTAGTAACGCAGCCTCAATGACATAACTGCCAACCTTTTCTCAATCAGGACACCGGTTCATAAACAGTAGTAACGCAGCCTCAATGACATAACTGCCAACCTTTTCTCAATCAGGACACCGGTTCATAAACAGTAGTAACGCAGCCTCAATGACATAACTGCCAACCTTTTCTTAATCAGGACACCGGTTCATAAACAGTAGCCTCAATTGACGTAACCTCCAACCTTTTCTCAATCAGGACACTGCCCATTTCACAATTTTGTAAACACGGATGCGCAATCAGGACACCTCAAGAATGAGGATATCTTTTATCAATCAGGACATGGTTCATTCCCTTCAATTTGTCCACAATTTGGACTGGGGCACACATGACTCAGCGCAGGATTCTATTATCACGATGCACCAAAAGTTGTTTGTATCACGCAAAGTCATAGTCTGCTGCAACTGCTGCTGAGCCAAGCTGTGTGTGTGAAGACCTTCTGTGAATCCCGCTAACATCAGCAAATCCGTGTCTGAGACAACACACACACACACACACACACACACACACACACTCAAACACACACTCGATAAACCTGTGCACATAGCTTTAGTACCAACTATCTCACCAACTATCTCACCATCAGTGTTTATTACACTTGTACTGTACTGATACAGTTTCAAGGGCAGAAAATCACTGCCCAAGGGCCCTGATGGTTACATGTACACATGCATAACAGCAGAAATGTAAATCCGAATGCTGCACAATCCACGGACACGCCTCCCACACAAACTCTATTCACTCGCTCACAAAGACCACTCCTCCATTGTTTGTGCTGTCCGCCGGTCGCTAATCTGTGCAAACGCACGAGGCATGAATATGGCCTTATATGTACAGCAGCTCACGCACTAGCAACCCGCCGAGCTGCGGGGCAGTGAGAGTGTCTCCACCACCTGGCCCGTTTCACCCCCCACAGCCCTCTATCGTCGCTAATTCCTGTCCTTTTTCCGACTCACCTTCCTTCAGTTCTCCCTCTAGCTCTCTGATCCTCTCCCGCACCTCGGCGGGGACACGGGACAGGTCCGCCGCCATGTCTTGTCTCTTCTCCTCTCTCCTTCGCCTACTGCGTGTTACGAAAGGAAGGGGGCAGCCAGCGTGATCAACTGGACACGAGTTTGCACCGGCAACAGCTAGCCCTGCGCAGTATAATAACAAGTAAAAATCGTGCAATCAACAATCGATTTTATGATCACGTGATGTTACACGATGGATGGGGCGTTTTATTCATTCTGCGCATGCGCAATTGACTTTCTTTCATAACCTAGAAATGCATGAGCTTCAGCCCCTCTATTAGGAGCTTAGCTCTCATTCTTCGTGCTCTCAATAGCCTGTGCTAGGTAGAGTATGATGTCATTGTAGGGAAATCCCCCACTCTCTGTCTGAGGAATGCCAAGATTCTCCATTAGTTGTTCAGTCTCTGCCTCACTCATCTGTAGTACATAGAGGGAGGAAGGGAGGGAAGGAGAGAGAACAATCAGAGAGATATCAGTCAATCAATCATGAGCTCGTTATCTTCAAACAACATCATTTAGTCATCCATTCAATGGTATGTTGTGTTTTTGACATCAGAGCAAAGGTGTTTTTCTCTTATTGGCGAGCGGGAGCGAGCCAACCTAGTCGTACGTTCGAGCGGAATTATGCGTTCGTCGTACGTCGTGTAAGTGCGCATGCGCGCCTTTGTACGCGCTATTTTACACACGGTGCCTCGCGACGCGATATGGGCCGATCGATCTAGCCAGCGAGAGAAGTCTCCTCCATTCGACGGCAAGCCGTTCTGCTCACCTGCTCACCGTTCTGTCGATGCACAATACGCATGCAGGTAGATCTGTCTTGCTTCACGAAAGTAAAGCTGTGTGCTGCTGACGGCACGTTATGCAGCCCGAACATCGCAGGCAAATCCCAAGTTGGGACGCTTGCTTCACGAAAGGAAAGCTGTGTGCTGCTGACGGCACGTTCTGCAGCCCGAACATCGCGGGAAAATCCCAAGTTGGGTCGCCAACAATGTTTAACATTTCCAGTAGTAGTAAGGAATGTGATGAGTGGGTGTTTTTTTTCAGTGAGGCATGTGTTATTGACAAAAGCGAAGAGATAGTGGGTGTTTTCTCTTGACATTAGAGCAAAGAGATAGTGGGTGTTTCTCTCTTAATGCAAAGAGATAGTGGGTGTTTTTCTCTTGACATTAGAGCAAAGAGATAGTGGGTGTTTCTCTCTTAATGCAAAGAGATAGTGGGTGTTTCTCTCTTAATGCAAAGAGATAGTGGGTGTTTCTCTCTTAATGCGAAGAGATAGTGGGTGTTTTTCTCTTGACATTAGAGCAAAGAGATAGTGGGTGTTTCTCTCTTAATGCAAAGAGATAGTGGGTGTTTTTCACTAACGGTGAGGCTAAGGTCCCTTTTCGTGTACACGGTCACATATGGAGACCAGGCTTTAGACTCACAGCTATAGGTAAACATTTACATCTACTTACAGCTTTTCCCTGGGACAGCTCAGTGAGGGTTGCAGAAATCTCATTTCCAGTCACAAATCCAGTGTTCCCGAGGTCTTTTGCCTGCAGTGCTCGCAACAACACCGTTTCCATGGGCGTCTCAGATCTCGGAGGAGGCGTGGTCACCCGGGGTGTGGCAGCAGGAGGAGGAGAAGGAGTGGGAGGTGGGGAGGGTGTAGGGGGTTGTGCCTGTGGTGACGGGGAGGGTGTGGGAGTTTTAGGAGGAGTGGGTGGAGGAGGTGGGCTCTGTGGTTCCTTTAGGGATGGAGAAGAGCTTGGCTGAGGAGGTGGGGTTTCCTCTTTCCGTTGTTGTTGTTGGGAGGTGAGTTTTACTTTGTTTTTCTTTGCCAAGTCTTCCATTCTACGACTCATCTCTTGCACACTGGCATCAAACAGCTCATTGGGTGATGACCTGCAGAGAACAACATGCATAGCCTGCGTGCAGAACTGTTCCCTAAGCATTTAGCTGGGCTAAATTGGAGGCTGATTTTCACAAGTTAACAAATGTAGGGACACCAAGTTAGACTTCAGGGATTGCAGGCAGTTTGACAAAGCCACATTATCCACTCCATACATGTCATACTCAAGTGGTATTTTCTATTTGGAGGGTCCTTTATCGGAGGTTCTATTGTACCTGATACGAAACTTGCCTGGCATGACTAGGTGAACACCAATGAGGATCTGTCCTAGTACATCAGCCTCCAGTCTCCCAACTACTCAACTATATAGCTCATTACATATTCTTTCATTAGTGTAGATGTGTATATGCTCATTGAGAATAGCCAGACTCAGTCAGAGTCGAAATGAAGCATGCGCAAGACTGATAGTGCCACCACAACACCAGAGGTACAAATTAGAGCTCACGTGGCGTTGACTCGAGCCAGCTCTTCTCGGAGAATGGCCCGGGCTTGTGTGGTTGTGGAGGCAGTGAGAGAGGAGGCAGGAGTTGGGACCTGCAGTGGCATGTTCAGACAGACAACACAACATTAGCTCACAATGCAAGAGGAGGCTAGCTGAGCTACTAGCCAAGTTTTGCTCTAACACATGAGATGTACAAAGATGAATAGTTGTGGAGTTCACCTCCTGTCCTTGTGGCCCCCAGTGAAGCGGTGTTTGAAGCTGTTGGTAAAGATAAATAAATGACTTTGTAAATACTATAAAGCATGAATCCTGTATAAATTCAGTGAAGTACATGGTATACTATGTAGCTTCAGTGTGACAAGAGCCACTCAAGCTGACGAGTTTCTTAACACTGGCAATGAATTCTCAGCTATTATAGTACCCATTGCATGCTGGGACGTACCTTACTACCTCGTCTGGTTCCAGTCCCAAAAGGTGCTCTTTCCTGGAGCCGTGGAACAACGGTCCCACCTGTACACGGCTGCAGGGGTCGAATCAAAACACAGTAGTTAGAGAGATCACCACCACTACGTACATAGTCAGGCTCACCTTCCTCCCTGTCACACAGAGCACATCTGCTGGCCTGACAAACACTCCGTGGAGAGGAGGGCACTGGAAATACTGACGTCCTCTCAGTGAGCCATCACACGTCCCAACTGTCAATGCACATCGAATTCAGAATGATTGTAAATAGACAGTGGAACCTCCAAATAAAGGACACATTGGACCAGGTGTTTTGTCCTTTATAGGAAGGTTGTCCTTGCTCTTGAGGAATTACTACAAAGTGAATGATTTTGACCTCAGAGTGTGTCCTTCATTGAGTGGTATTTTCTATTTGGAGGATCCTTTATCGGAGGTTCTATTGTACCTGATACGAAACTTGCCTGGCATGACTAGGTGAACACCAATGAGGATCTGTCCTAGTACATCAGCCTCCAGTCTCCCAATGTACCTCACTACCCCTGCAATCAATACTCTTACTACATGCACAGTCGTTCTCTGCTCTGCCTGTGGCCACCTAACCTGGTCTCTCTCCCTTGACAATGACCCTGTCTCCAAGCAGTATCTGCTGACCACTCCTGCAAGGTATATCAGAGACAGGACACATTAGTTGGGGATTGGGAAACTCTAATCCGCGACTGGTTAAAAGCATGCTTTGGCTCTTTATCTTAGACACTAAGTTGGAAGGTTGAGTACATTGCCTTGCCTGCTCCCACAGGTTAAAGCAGTGCTGTAGCTGAGAGAAAGCAGGTGCAATAGACGGAATGTTTGTGTTCACTTGGGCACGCTTTGTATCAGCCTTGACTCCTTTTGCGATTCACAGTCTTATGCACTTGAGAGATGTTACTGCTTGGTTGTAAGAGAAACACATCGAGTCTGTAAGCTCCTGTGCTCAATATGTTCCTGGTTATAAATATACTGAGAGTTCCCAACAGGAGAAATAGCCCTCAAATACGGCTATATGTGTAAGGGCTAGGCACAGACTAGGCAGCAGTAGCTAAGCAGAGGGAAAGCAGGCAAGGCAACAAGTGCAGCAGATCAGATCTTGTTAACCTCAGTGATACAGTGCATTATTTTCCCAGGTTCTAAACTGCTCCCATCACTTATGTATTTGCAATTTCCTTTCTGCTAGCACAGGATAGCTCTCTCCTCATTAGCTCTCTATGCAGTGCTAATGGTGATACCCAGCATAAGGTGGAAGAAATCTACCGTACCAACATGCAATATAGCTGCTGGGCTGACTTTGTGAGGTGGGGAGTGGTGCGATGTTGCTGCGACTGGGTCTGAGGCATGGAGTGAAGGGGGGAAGAGGAGAGGAGTTGTTGTCGAGAGCCAAGTGTCACGGCTCCGAGACTCTGCTGGGCATTGCACACAGAGCACCTGCAGCCGAGCAGAGGAGGAGGCAGGGGGTCAGTGTGTGGCCTCGTCGATGGTGGCAGTGGGACAGTGTAGGGTTGGGAGGGGAGAGGCACGGGAGGGTATGTTGAGTGGCGGCTGTGCAGCTGTTGCCTATGATGGTAAAGACCTTGGTCACAGCTATGCCAAGGTACATAGACTCAATAAATAATATCCATCTAGTGTTGTATCTCTTCATACCTGCAATCAATATACTCTCCCCTGGCATTCACAGTGCGAGCTCTCTCAGCAAAGTCCAGTACTGGCAGTGGTTCACCTCCCAGATACTGCAGTACAGTGACAGTCAGTCAGTATCATCTGCAGCATGCTCATTATATATCCTTCTATACCTTCTGTCTGGCCTGTTGTAGTTGACGCTCACTATACATGAGTATAGAAACATGAAAGAACTTGAGGGTAACTCAAGGATTGGTGACTCACTGGTCTTGTTTCCTGCGTTCCCTGAACTGGACTCTCGCCTTGTGTTTCCTGATCTCCGGTGAGGTCATCTTCAACACTGAGAGCCGACCTTTCAGATGCTGGAGTTGGAGAAAGAGAGAGAGAGGGGGGGAGGAGTCAGGGATGAAGGAGGGAAATAGACAGAGAGAGAGAGGTGGAGGTTTGATCTATACCCTGATCTCTCCACGAGCCTCCTCCAGAGCTGAGTTTAGCTGGACATTCTCTGACACAACTGCAGGTTATACAGGACGCATCCTGTAATGAGTTGCAGGATGCTAAACTTACCTTCTTTGTATTGTCTTTCCAGGTTGTTGTCATGTGTAGTAATGGTTCTCAACTCATCAATGGTGGAAACCACTTGACCCCTGCATTTTGAAAGCAAATTTTTAACCATGTGTGTTGCCAATCTGGGAAAATGCCAGGGTACAGTATAATTATACTGAAGCACATTCTTCATTGGGTTTGGGTGCTACACATCAGTTTTATCACCCGACTACCAAAAAGTATACATTATGTATGTGTACAGCTTCATGCTGAGGAAGGGGATATAATAACCAAACTGGATGGGGTTGCTGACTGACCTGACTGTCTTGAGCAGCCTTCCGAGGCTCTTTTCATCAGCCCCCGACAGGCCAAGCTGAGGCGGAAATGTGCCAAATTTCCACTTGCAATGACGGGATAATCAAACTTACGGCCTTGATAAGACTCTCAGTAGAACTGTCCATCTCTGAAGGAGAAACAAAGGCAGATTGATATGGAAAATTGCGCTTTTGCCAGCTTTACTACATGCGTGGGTGTTTACTTTAGGGCATTGTATGTCTATAGTGCACTACGTTGCTATAGCCAAGCTACCTCTTTTCTGAATATCTGGGAGGGAGACATGTTCGTTGGCTGCGTCAGTCGGTGCCGGTGGTGGCTGGCTGCTGTCTTCTTCCGGTATTGCTGAAATGGAGAGAGGAAACGCAACGTTGAGTGATCCAATAAAGAGGTGCAGCCTTGTATTATACCCGGCAGTTTGTCGTCTGGTCGTTCCTCCATGGATTGTGCAGGCAACACTTCGGCCATACCACCACCAAACGACGTTTTTCTCAAGGAAAGAGGGTGGGGCTCGTATAGTATGTAGGTTGCCTAGCAACTTCATGCGGATCTTTAACGCATGCGCACTTTGTCCACCATTACGAAACGTGGACTTACAAGGTGCGTTCTAGTTGGAGTTCTCCCCTTCGGACAAAAGCCGTTGTTGGCTGCGGCTCAAGAGAGGTTCATGAGGCGGTGGTGAACTAGCGGAGGTGATCATGGGAGGAAATCAGAGCGTGGAGGTCCCGGGAGGCGGCAGCGAGGGCTATCACGTGCTCAAGGCAAGGGTGCTCTCCCATCCGTAGCTTAGCACACTGGCGGTGTGATAGTAATGTGAATACATGACTGTGTACAGGTGTTGGACAACTCTCCGGCCAAGAAGGCAGGAATGCAGGCCTACTTTGATTTCCTTGTCTCTATTGATGGAGTGAGACTGGTAGGTTCCCCACCAGGGAAGAGAGTGTGTGTGTGTGAGAGAGAGAGAGAGAGGGGGGATGGAGTTAAACTAATGAATTAACTCTGGGATATGTGGTACTATGTCATTGTAGTATACCGACTAGGTCCACTTCTTTTTCAAATTGACTCCAGCACCCTTTTTATGTGTCCATTGGTTTGGTATTAACAGTGCATTGTAGTGCAATTGTATCTGGGTGGCTCCATGGGGAAAAGAGCAAGAGACAGACAGAGAGACGGAGTGAATGAGCACATGTGAGGGGATGAGAAAGTAATGAGCTGAGAGTGTGTGGTACGTATGTACAATTGTGCTACACTGGGTCCAATTTTCATTGGATGAGCTCCAGTACACTAGAGCAGCACTCTACGTCTGTGGATTTTAAGAATTTACGTGTGCACTAATGTCCAGTGTGTGTGTGTGTGTGTGTGTGTGTGTCAGTCATCAGTGTGTTACCTCCATGTTGGTGGCTATCTCTCTCTGTCCACACAGAACCAGGAGAATGACACCCTGAAGCAGATACTGGAGAAGTACATGGACAAGCCGGTCGAGGTGTCACTCTACAACTCCAAGACCCGCGCCACTAGAGGTGAGAACTATAGCCGGTCCACTACTGCTGCCAACTCATACACTGTATGTAGCTGACACCCTGTACGCCAACATAGCTTTTTTCGTCATTAGCATGTACATATGCCTTGCCAAAATATAAGGCACAAAGATTTTACCTCTGTGCTGCATGGCTGTGGTATGATATTTTCACCACAAAGAAAGTGTATCGTTGACAGTTAAACTATCAGAAAAGCTTTATAAAAGCTTCACCGTGATTATAGTGGTTCCCCTGGACACATTGGCTTTCTATGATTTTTGTCAAACAACGCAGCAAGTCGTGGCTGTGTGATCGTCACGCCGGCATGCACATCGTGCAGTGTGACTTAAGATCACGATATCGCCGATAGATGTGTGACTGTATAATTGTGCTGGTTTAGATGTGTGACTGTCTCTATTATGTACTATGTATGGTTCAGAGGTGGAGCTGGTGCCAACCAACACATGGGGTGGCCAGGGACTGCTGGGAGTCTCCATTCGGTTCTGCTCCTTCGAGGGAGCCGCTGAGAACATATGGCATGTCCTGGTCAGTCTCTGCATATGTATATTATACATATGCTGTATGTATCATAGCTATATAGCTCTAGCGTGTCCTGGTCAGTCACTGCATACATGTATGTATCATAGCCAGCTCTAGCGTGTCCTGGTCAGTCACTGCATACATGTATGTATCATAGCCAGCTCTAGCGTGTCCTGGTCAGTCACTGCATACATGTATGTATCATAGCCAGCTCTAGCGTGTCCTGGTCAGTCTCTGCATACATGTGTGTATCATAGCTAGCTCTGGTCAGTCTCTGCATACCTGTATGTATCATAGCTTGCTCTAGTGTGTCATGGTCAGTCTCTGCATACCTGTATGTATCATAGCTTGCTCTAGTGTGTCATGGTCAGTCTCTGCATACCTGTATGTATCATAGCTTGCTCTAGTGTGTCATGGTCAGTCTCTGCATACCTGTATGTATCATAGCTTGCTCTAGTGTGTCATGGTCAGTCTCTGCATACCTGTATGTATCATAGCTTGCTCTAGTGTGTCATGGTCAGTCACTGCATACATGTATGTATCATAGCTTGCTCTAGTGTGTCATGGTCAGTCTCTGCATACCTGTATGTATCATAGCTTGCTCTAGTGTGTCCTGGTCAGTCACTGTGTAGCAATAGCAGTAACGTATGTACATGTCCTGGTCTGTCACTTTTGACCTGTGTGAACTAGCTATGGTGTAGGTGTAAGTCTTGGTCAGCCACTGTTGGGTGTCGCTGCTGTCGCGTGTACATCTCCTGGTCTTTGGAGAAGCCATTTGGTATGTAGTAGTATATTAGTGTACATACCATGCATCTAGTTGGCTCGGGCCCTTGTGAGCTCCTCCTGCATGCATTGTAGCCTGTATATAGAACCCCTTCATTAACCCTCGGCGCCCGCATGCGCAGCGAGGGTTACAGTAGTCGTTCTGTCTGTCTGTGTGTGTGTGCGTGTGTCCGTCCGTCCGTCTGTCCACCGTTTTTCTCGGTAACCGCGGCAACTCTGAGCGTGAAAACGTGGACATATTTTCAACTAGGAGGAATGCATGGTAAAATAAGATTCTGGAGCGGAGAAGGCCGGGGAAGCTGGTGAAACGGGCGGCTGCCGAGGTGAGTGTGCGTCAAATAGAGATCGCGAACCATCGTTGTACTTAGATGCTGGATGCTTTGCGCGTGTGGAGAAGATTTGTTGGTCTGGCTGTATTGATGGTACAGTTGAGTAGGATCGAGATTGCCGGTGAAGTGAGAGCAGCACACGCCCCAGTCAGTGAAGGAGTCACTGAGGTAGTGTAGCTAGTATGTAGCTGAATAGTGGTGAGGGTCGTCAAGACCTGTGCTTTTCACTTAGTAACTAGTATTGAATGCGCATGTGCCAAAAACTGACGTAGTGTAGCTAGTAGCCATTGGCTGCTGAAATAGAGAATAAAGTGGCGAGGGTTATGCACTTTCAAGTGCTTTTCTGTTGCTTCCCTCTCCTCTTATGTGCCCTTCTCTCCCCTCTCTTTCACTCTATGTATCTCTCTCTCTCCATCTCTTCTACCGTTTCCTTTCTCTCTTTCTCACCCCTTCACCGTTCTCCACCCTCACTCCTCCCCTCCTTCCTCACATCCTCTCCACCCCCATCCCCTCCCCTCCTCACACACCCTCTCCCTGCAGGAGATCCACCCCAACTCCCCGGCGGCACAGGCAGGCCTCATCCCTCACTCTGACTACATCCTCGGCTCCGAGATGATGTCTACCGGAGACGATGATCTATACTCTCTCATAGAGAGCCACGATCATCAGGAGATCAAACTCTATGTCTACAATACCGACACTGACAACTGTAGGGAGGTGGGTACTATACCATTGCAATAAAGACGAACCTGCACACGTGTAATAACAAGTGGGCGTCAATTGGAGTATGTATGTTAAGTTAGACATCTCCTCCATTGAACGTTGCAATCTATGCATGTTGAAGCCCTCGGGCATCTACCATGCATAGATTCTCAATGAGTAACTATTATGTGCCAGTTAGAAGATGCCCTCCATCTTCATGTGTATAGCACTCTTACCCACTAGGTGTCCCTGACTCCTGACTCAGAGTGGGGAGGAGAGGGGAGCCTTGGGTGTGGTATAGGCTACGGCTACCTCCACAGACTCCCCACACACTCCAAGACCAGCGCGGGAGGTGGTGCTCCCACCAGTAGCAGCGACCTGGAGGCCGGAGGAGCTCAGGATAGCAGTGCTACCATCACTTCTCCTCCTCGTCCCCCTCCACCTGCTGAGGGCTACTGCGATGTGAGTCAGTGAGGGAGCGGGGGTGGGAGTGGGGGAGAAGGGGAGGAGAGGCAAGGGAACAAGAAGGGAGGGAAGAAAGAAACCAAGAGGGGTAGCAGCTAGCAGGGCTGGTGCCAGGGGGACATAGTTCATCTATCTCTTCATTTGTCCCCCTGAATATGCTTCCCAGGGGACACTTTGACCCTCAAATAGTAGGGGACCATATAAATTTTTTTCTAGGGGGCTGATTGCCCCCCAGCAATAAATATCTGGAGCTAGCTCTGGGGGTGGTCTGTAGTTGCCTGAAAAGCTCACATGATGTACTTTTTCCTGGATTCACAGCATGTGCCTCTCCTTACAGGTGCATAATTGCATCCCAGTTGTAACCATGCTTGTAAATACAAGTGATTTCAGCACACCTGAATGCCTAGTCTAGTCTTTGTGTTTGCGTATTACGATTTTTGAGTGTAGAACATGACCTCTGAACCTTTTTGTGTAGGCGCTCAGTATAGAGCTATTTGTTCAGGTGTTCCATGTCATCTTTCCCTGTGTGTGTGACTACAGGTACCGCTGTCAGTACCGTCCAACCCAGCCACTCCTTCAACGATGGCCTCCTCATCTCCCAGAATCAGCGTGGCCCAGACACAGGCCGGCATGCAAGGGCTCCGGCTGACTGACTCCCCCGCCCCTCTCTCCCCTCCCTCCCTCCCCTCCAGCACCCTCACACCCGCTCCGGTCACCGTCATACGTACCACGCCCGGAGGACCCCCTCTCCCTACCACAACCACCGAGCAACAACTAGGAGACCAAAATCTGACCAACGCGGTCCACTCGCCAATCAACACGGCGTGGATGACTCAGCCGGGAGCAGTCCAGTCGCATTACAGCACCGGTGGACAGCAAGGAACAGCTGTGGATGGTACTCCGTATCGGATGACAAACGCACAGTTCTCAGGCGCAGTTGCTGGGTCCACTACGATGCAGGGTAAGACAGGGAGTAGTATTGGTATGTAGGTACACCGCAGCAGCTATTCCAACAGTCTGGTGTGGTTATATACCAATGCAGGTGTGGGTTCTGTGAGAGCTCCGTTCCAGACCAGCATGCACCACCATCCTCCCCCCTCCTCCACGTCTCTCCCTCCACTCTCGTCCTCCTCGGTCTCCCCGCCACTCCTACCGTCTTCACTGCCACCACCACCGGGGACCCAAGGGAATGTGACTTCAATTAATGCCCACCATTCCATCCCGGCTGTGGGGAGTGGAGCACTGCCGGCATTTCTCCCGGGAGTACTCACGTCTCTCTCACCACCTGCGGCACTGCAGTCCTCCCTCCTCGGTGGCACGGCCAGTATACCCCCCTTGGCCGCACCACTCACAGTCTCTGGGCTTCCCAGCGTACCCCCGACCATCTCGTTTCCCTCCATCGCCCCTAAAATTAGTCTGAATCCCTCGCCTGCAGCACTTCCCCAAGCCGTTCCCACTACTACCGTGTCCTGAGGTTCCACTCACTACTGCCAGTAACAATAGTATCGTAATAATAAGAGGAGGACCCTGTGCTATATGTGCTCTAATGGACCTCTAATCATGCTCATTGGATGCCCTGCTTTTAATAAAGTCTCATGCCTGTACAATATTACATACGTATTTGTCTCATAAGTAAAAGTTGACATACGGTGTATTTGTCAAGCGCTGAGTGGTGTGCTGGATAGCTAACTGTTGGTATAGATGTCACTACTACGAAGAATGAAAAGCACTAAAGTGCAAACCCTTGGCGAACTGCGCATGCGCTGTACCTCTAATTGATGGGCTGGGCCTAGTCTGCGTTTACCCGTGATCTCCCGCTAGTAGCTCGCGGAGTCGAGAGTCTGACACGGGCTAGCTACAGTAGTAGATAGCATGCGAGAGTCGATACACGCCCTTCGTTGTGACTTCTTGTGCCTCCGAGGTACACAGATAAAGCGGATCAGGTCGAGGTAAGCTAGTGCTAATTAGCAATTGGCTTGTTCACTTGGTTTTCACGCCATAACTTCTGAACGCGGCACTTTTACGAAAATCGCCATTTTTAAAATCAAGCCAGTGTAGCGCTGAACTGCATGGTGTCGCTATTTTACCTGTTTGTTGCGAGTGGTGGCAGAAAACGTGGTAACAGACGGACAGACGGACAAACCAAGTACTATAACCCTCGCTGTGCATGCGCGCCGAGGGTTAATAAACCACACACCAAAAGATGAGCTTGCTCAACGCGAAACCTTTAAAGAGAGAGGGTAAAATTGCTGAAGCAAAGATCATGCGCCCACACACGAATGGACATGAGATACAAAATTGGTGAGTGAAGTGAGCTAGTGGTTCAAATTGAATGCATGGCACTGTCACATATCTTCATGCTTTACAGTACATAAGACCCTGAACATGTGCACATAAGCGTTGATTCTGTAAAAAAGGTCTGGTAGGAAAAAGTTGGCATACCAATAGGAAAAAATTGGACACAGTTTCAAGAAGTTTGACCTTCTACACCAAAGAGTATAGGGAATACGTGGCCCAGTGAGTGTTCCTCGAGGTAGGTCCTGAACTGGCCCATGTCCATGTGGTTCCCCCGGGGCCCGTGGGTGGCCAGCCCCAGCTCCCTAAACCCCTCCACCCTCCGGTGCGACGACAGATCCCCAGACTCAGTCGTCACCTCCCCCTCCCTGTGCCGACACGAGATGGACTTCCAGTTCCAGCGACGGAGGACGTTAAAGAAGTCCCGCGTGCTCCCCTCGTCTCCCTCCACGCAGACGACGCCCGGTTTGCCCGGGAGACAGAATCCGCTCAGTTGTAGCTGATCGGTTAAATCCAAGATATTCCTCCGCTTCGTCTTGCTGTAGATGTGATGCATGTAGAGCCAGAGACGACAGAACGCCCTCCCTCCTCTTCCTGCTGACTTGGAGGTGTTTGGTTGAGGTGAGACGATGGGAAAGTAAGAGCCAGCGTTGTCCTTCACCCACTCTGCTATGGTGAGGAGACACACCTCCCCGAGAGGGAGAGTCGTCCTGAACTGTTTCAGGTCGGCGTTCAGGTCGTCCTGACCTCTGCGAGTGAGACTGTCGGAGCTGACGTATACCTCAGGACGCTCGTCCGGGTAGCTGGGGATTACGTAACAGAGTGGGAGGAGCACATAAACATACACAGTGGAATCTAGATGAGGCATGACATGATGACGTCATGAGCAATAATTGCTGACCTGGCAGATATGCGTAAATGGTGTTTTCCATACATTTGAGTGAAGCCTCAGAGATATGTATGTTACTATACACACAAGTTTGAAACTAGATTTAGTGTATTGTTTGAGCTCTGAGGCCCCGAGAAAGCTCAGGTTCAGAACACGAGGCTAAGGGTTTACTTCGTTCACCGAAGCCAATCTCGTGCTGACTCATTACGTGATCATGTCGTACCTCCTCTGAGTGGAATCTCTCTATGAGGACACCTCCCCTCTCCATGAACCTCTCTAATAAGGACGCACACCCCCTGCTCTCACTAAGAACAGATCTTGCATGAACTGTAACCTCACTAATACGGACACTTTCATTGGTGTTTGGATTGGAGGGCTTCCACTGCGCCACAGAACCTGAAGCAAATTTTACCGGTGAGGTAGCGTCATGGAAATGGCCAGGGTGCATTGTTCCGTTCCGCGGCAAGCTGCCTCAGCGGAGCCATCTCGACTGCCGTCCTCCCCCTCCTCGTCGCTATCTTCTCCGGCCGCTGGATGGCGATCCACGGAGAGATTGAGTCTGCAAGAGAGTCGAGAGACGGGAGTCTCGGTAGTGAGTCCCCTCGTCCAGGCCGCGGAGGTCTCTATCACAGCTCTGTCGGCAGAGAACTCTCCCGGCTGGGAGAACACGGACTGCAGTAGCTCCAGCTCGTCCAGCTGTTGCTCCACTGCCTCCATACTCGGTCCATCGTCCTTCACTAGGTCCTTAGACTTTTCGTCATCCATCCAGTGTTGGCCGCCTTCACATCCACGCATGCGCAGAATATCCTCATCACTTACTCGATCGACTCCCGGGATCCCTGCTGCATGCTGCTGATTCTCGTGCCGTAACATGCAGAATCGCCATTTTTAATACACTGACAAAAACAAAGTGGACTATGCTACAATGTGCATACACTGCAGAATAGTATTGTAATTATGGTTAATTAATCGTCATCAGATTCTTCTTCAGGTTCTGCAACTTCATCTTTGAAATCCTTTGCTAAAGCTACTGTCAGTACCGGCAGAGTGACAGGTGCCAAAATAATACTAACAGGAAGAGCCGCGATAGTTAGACCAACATCAATCAGCGAAACGACCTTAGTGTCTGTATTCTCATAACCATCTCTGCTCTTTACGAATTCTCTATGTGCGACTCCTATTGTCATAGGCAGACACAGAGAGGCACCGGCACCCATAAGAACACAACGATAAACAGTTCGTGCAGTCGAGTGTGCAGTTGGCACGTAAACACCTTCTGCAAGACTCATCAGTGTTTTGTTTGTGGCCACGACTTGAAACTCGTATAAAGTACCTGACTTCAGTCCCTTCACCAACAGCTTTCTCTTCGTAGTTCTTCCAGACTCTTCCCATTCTCTTGGTCCAATTTTCTTGTACACCACATACTCTTCAACTGCCTCTGGATTCTGTTCTGGAGGATCCCAGTAAAGTTTGACACTATTTCTACCAGTTTTTATTTGTACAACTGGTGGCTGTCCAGGAATCTTCTTCAAGATGTCAGAGAGTTGGTCCAGCTCAGCAAGCCCTCTCTCTAGAATCTCACCCGCAGCTGGCCCTACAGTTCTGGTTTGGAACTCTGCAGTTATTTCACTCACTTCTTTAGCGATATCGAGAGGTTCTGAGTCTCTCACAGCGCAGTCAACCTTTTCTTGTACTTTGCTATTTTTGACGAGTTCAGCGAGCAGAGTTTCACAGTGTTGTTTTGATATTTTGAAATTTTGTGCAGTGAATTGGAACAGTGCACCCCCGGTAACTTTCCCCTCTCCATCCTCCCCTGACTCACTCCATTGCACCATTTCCTGTTCCAACTGGTCCAAGAGAGGGCACACTTCCTCCTCGGTGGAGTGTAATGGGTTAACTCGGCAGATTTCCTCTCTCAGAACACTCTTCTTTCTCTTCAGTCTCTGCTGGTGGATTCTCAGGAGATTTCTCTCTTCCATTGGCAGGTTTCCTTCCAAAGCCTCCTCCATTTCCCTCTCGTACTCCCTCGCCAGCTTGTAGGAGACTTCCTTCAGCTCCAGCCTCACCACAGCCTGCCAGCCCTGGTCTAGGTCTGGCAGAGCTCCTGGCCTGTTGACTGCCTCCACATAGCCTCCAGCTAGAGCAGCCAGAGCCTTCCCAGTCACTGTAGTAGTCCCATCCACTGCCTTCTTTAGGGCTACTTTCTGGAGGATTTGCTGGATCAGAGGATCAACTGCTGCATTGAAGGCTGGTTTGAGGTTGTCTTGCTGCTCCACTATGCCACGGATGATGTCTCTCTTGGTGGAAGGAATGGGTAGAGTGGCACACTCCAGAGAGGGGAAAAGACTGACTAGAGACTTGCCCAAGTCTGTGAGCTCTCCTGATTCAGATGCAAGGACCCGGGTGTGCAGGAGAGAGGGTTCCAGTTGTCCTGACTGGAGATGATGAGAGGGATGGAGGGAGGGTCTTACAACCCGGCAGGGAGAGCTGGTGGGGAACTAAACTCTGTGGAACACACTCTTTGGCCATTGTACCAATTGTCGCCATTTAAGCGTGAAAAATGTGCATATGAGCAGTTTAGCCGTGAATCCTCGCTCACAGTTTGAAGATAAAAACTGCGAAGAAAACTTGAAGGTGGTAGTATGCAAAGGTTTGTGTCTGCAATTTTCGCTTTGATTGATAGAAGAAAAAAGCACGCAAAAATAGGAAGTATGCAAAATGAGCACAATGAAAAGGGCGGGAAAAAGGTGCTAAAACGAAGTCAGAGAAATTCTCCTAGCAGTCCAAGACCAAAACAGTCCGAGTCATCATCTACGACTCCATTACCAAAGATGGCCACACTACTCCACAGCATCTCTTGGTCCACTCCTCCACTGGTAGTCGAGAAGTAGTTGGAACTGGGACGATGGGGTCGAGGAGCGGGGTGGGGAGGGCGTCTTGCAGGGGGTCGACTGTTCTGGACAAGAGCGGGGTGGTAGGCTGGATCGAGACCATGGTGGTAGCGAGGCTGGAAGATGAACGGTCTGATATGCGGTGGCTCGTCTGTAAAGTAGCTGTTGAGACACGGCAAGGCTTCATCCATACTCTCATAGTCGTCCTCCTCCTCATAGTCAATAGTAGATTGGTGAGTAGTTGCAGTTGCAGTGGTCTTCGGAAAATCTGAGAGAAAACATAATTCACTGGCTAGTATGCACAACAAACGGGGGAAAAGCTTACACTACACCATGGCCATGCATCTCTTATTCTGACCTAGAGAGTTTGATAGGGGTATATGCTGAGTTGTTAAGTAGCTAATGAAATCCTGTTTGTACCAAAGTAGGCTACTCATGAAGCATTGGGCTCCTTCCTATATACTCCTAGAGAGAGTTATATATTATACCTGATGGGAGAACACGTGTGTGGCCAATGTTGGAGGAGTCCTCCTGGGAATCTGAAGATTTGACGGCTGAGGCTGGGCTCCCAGTGAGAGACGGATTAAGAGGCTGGTCATGAGGGTCACAGGTCAACCGGGGGTGATTGGAGGTGGTTGAAGAGTGGCGGATCTTCTTGGTCTTGGGACGCTCAGACTTTGCCGGTATGACCTTCTTTGTAATGGTCGGTGGAGTGTTCTTGCACTTCCTGAAGGCCGCCGCAAACTGGTTGGTGAAGATCTTTAGTTGGGTAACCTACAGTGAAAAGTGAACGGCATAATTACAGACTGCTATATAGCACAAGAAACATGAGTGTGATTGTTAGTAGAAGGAAACATGACTTAGATTGTTGGTAGTTTACCTCCATTCTCTGGTAGGAGGTTACGGCTATGAAATCGCAGGTGTAGAGTTTGTGGACAGACTCTGCCCCTGTCGTGTGGCATCTGACTGTTATTACAGGAATATACTTCCTCATCGACAGCAGAATGAGCTGTGGAAATAAGAAAAGAGTTTCATAATATGAATGCTAAAGATTAGGTATGTTGGCTTAATTTGCTTGCCTGGTCTCTGCGGTCAGTGTTGAAGTTGTTGGTCATCTTGGTGGTTTTGAACGAGAGGGGTTTCTTCGTGAAATGAGATCCAGTGTTCCTTGAGTCGGCGTGAGGGACAATTCTAGGTGGGATGGAGGGCTGGGCACCAGTGGTGATTGTCATCCAGCCGTGTTCCTCGTTGTAGCGATAACGGTAGGAGTCTGTCATTTCCACACTAATTAAAACTGAGTAGATGTTGTCTGGCTCCAGCCCACTGATCATAACCTCCACTGATGGAAACATTCTCCTGTATTGGAAAAATATTATTGAAAAAACACAAAGTGAAGAAATTAATGAAAACAAACCTTCCTTCCTTGCAAATGATCATTTCAGTTCCCAGTTGTCTGAAGTCTTCCCATGCTAGGTCGCAGTCTTCTGTCAGCTCTACACTGACTCTCGAGGAGGAGGGATTAGAATAAGACGAGCAGCGAACTGTAGACGAAGGATGAAACGGAGTACCGTTGTTGTCGCTCGGTGCGGCGTCGAGCGCACGATGCGCGCGCAGATCTCTCTGGCGATGATGACGGCGTTTCTTGGTGCGCGACTCCCCCGGCTGCCACGATGGGTCTTCGTCGTCCTGCGATGATCCGGCGTAGTCCTCGGTGTACTTTCGCTTACGAGGAGGTGGCTTCTGATGCAAATCTCCGTCCCCGTTGAGTAGCAGGTCGACTGCGGCTTGCGTCATGGATGATGATGATGTCCAGATGAAATGAGACTTGAACTGCTTTCCTTCGTGGGTGAACGTCCGAAAACTGGAGTAAGTGCTGCTCCATTCTCGTCGCTGCCTTTATAGGCGTCGCTAGAGACGGAGGGACACCTGGCTGTGGTTGCAAGTGCGAAACCTTTCACCGATGGTGAAAATTTCCGCTATTGATCTTTTTCGCAGGTGTCCAGGTGTTCGACGGACGGACGACTCTGTCTGTACGGCGAACGTCGCCGTGTACGTGCCTGCGTCTCCAGGTAAAAGTAATGCTAAAGGGAAATCGTCAGTACGAGCGCGTTTCGACGCGCACTTGTGATTGCGCATGCGCAACGTGGGCTGAACGAGGACCGGACGACGGCGCCTATACGCACTTTTTTCCAGGTTCCAGGTCGAGCTAGTAAATGCTACTGACACTCCTGAGCCTGGGAAACAATGGAGTATTACTGTTGGTTCTGTTGAAGAAGGTTTGTATGCCCAGTTCTGCACACACCTTCTTGATAATCATGTCATTGCAAAATCTCACTTGCATTATAATATGAATGGCTGTGTACAAAAATTGAAATGAATAGAGACCTTCTAAAAGTTTATAAAATGATTAAAATAAATGCAGCACTATCACAACACACTCTCTCTCTCTCTCCTTCTCTTAGCAACTACCTTGAGAGTCCAAAAACTTCATAATCCTCTACTGAGAAATACTGCTCTCCTGCAGACAGATAGACACGTGTACAATGGAACCTCCAAACAAGGACCATCTAAGATAGGGACGACCTCTTGACAGAGGACACTGCTAACACTTTAGTGTATTATTTGACATCCGAGATAGGGATGACCTCTCTACAAAGGACACTCGTTTCAACACCATGCTAGGACTTTATTTGACCTCCGAGATAGGGACGACCTCTCTACAAAAGACCCATGCTAATACTTTCATCTACGAGATAGGGACAACCTCTCTACAAGGGTAAAAATCGACGGTCCCATAGTGTTCCTTGTTTGGAGATTCCACTGTATAATATATATAGCTAGTAGAGAGTGGAATAGTTGTAATACCAGTCAATAGATTGTTGGGAGTGTCGACTGTGCCGTATGTGTAGGGAAGTTGTGAGTAGGAGTCCTTGTTCCGATTGCACTCACTGCTTATACAGAGGTCTGCACCGGAGCCAAAGATGGGTCCATTTCTGACAAGGACATTAACCAAAGATAATTTGTTTACAAAAGGATAAACTAGGTGAAGTTGATATGCCTAGGCAGTTCACACTATAAGCACCAGTGATGTGGCTTGTCCTTCATAATGTATACATCACCGCCACCATCGCACTCTATAACAGACCTGCTCACTTTCACTCACAAAAAATATTTGTTCTGTGGTCATATATGTATATACATACGGCCTAAAGCGTTACAACTCACCCAAAATAATTGGGCTATATTTATTTTCGTGCACTTGAACTCTGAAAACAATGCTATTACATTGGCTGCATCTCTCCCTCTCTCTCCTTCCCTGCCATTCTCAAGTGTGTGCCTATATACCCTATTAACCAACACATTTGGTGGTATCTCCCTCTAATCCTCAAGGACGTCTCACCCGGGGTGGTTGTTGATGGCGTAGGCCGGCTGTCTGATGTCAAACTTGGCCGGCCCGCTCCCGGAGGTGCTCACCAGGGAGAAGAGGAAGGAGGAGCTGGAGCTGGCAAACTTGCCTCTCTTGAACCGACTGCTCCACGATGCATCAGTGTAGCCTCCAAACAGACATCCACTGGGAGTCTGCAAGGATACCAACACTGTGATATTAGAGGTTTTAGTTCACAGGCTAAGTAGCTCCTCTTCCACATGAACCGGGGTGCCATATTTCGTATTTTGCCTTGATACAAGAAAATCCTACGCAAATTAACCGGCAACATGCACCTAGCACGTTAGTAATAATTATATATACCAAATCGAAAACAATCTTTTTGGAGTTACTGATACGAAATTCGTCACCTACAATAAAATCCAGCTATACACTAGCTGTAACACAATAATGTTTGATATATACAAGAAATTGCGAAACTATACAGATGGTGTGGCCTGTTGTTGCCACAATGATGTTTGACATTGAATCTTTTTAGAACACTAGATGGAATAGCTCCGTACCTTGACTAGGACAAGTGTCGCTCCCTTCTCATCGCATGCAGCGTGGAACTTCCTGGCCTCGAAACCGTCCCTCGAGGCTCTGTACAACAGAACCCACTCCTGAGAGGGAGTGCCACACCTCCACGAGGGTGGAAAACAGTCGAGTAAATAAGAAATTACGATAATGGAATCTGAAAAAAAAACAGTCCCGTATAGCAGGACTGCTTTGGAGAGAAAAACTTTTGCGAGAGTAAAGTTTAATTAGGTCACTATAGGTTTCTCTGTGAAAATTCGTAAGAGGCAAAACATGCATTGAGGAACCAGCAATCCACAGAAGTTTTCCACGTTAAAAGTTCATATATTTTCCTGCAAAAAATTCTTGTTTGCTATATACCAGAACACAAAGTTTTCTCCCTAGAAAGTTACCCGCCATTTTATGGTACTCACTTCACTTTCTGAATGCTAACTGTGTGAAAGTGTGGAGGACTATATACTAATCCCGACGAGGTGCCCAGACAAATCATGTGGGAAACACTAGAAAACGGTTCAGATATTGTTGATGACGCTCGTTCCTTCTTCCCTTGTGGGTGTGGACCGGCTGGGTACGAGACTATCTAGAGACACTAACTTCCCTGAAACCTCTTCGCGCACCCTCCCTACACATCCTTCAAACCCTCACCACTCGTTCATCTGCATTTGAAAGTCGGTTCTCTCGGCCACCAGCTCCGAGTCGACAAAGGCCCCCGTGCAGCCACTGCGAGGACGAGACTGCTTCTCCGACGGAGACAGAAGACCCTTGCCGTGTACCGCTGCGTGCCGATATCTGCGTGAGATAACAGGCACATCAGACTGGCTTACTAGACCGAATGTATTATTGGGGAGAGAACGCGATTAGTTTGCAATACATATTTGGAATCACGTACAACAATTAAGGTATGTACAGTGGCAGTGCCCGTAACATATTAAAAATCCCGCATTGAGACGACTAGGTAGGTTCGCTTCACTCACCAATTATGGGCACGAGTGCCATCCACAGAACAGAAATATTATTGTGAGCAGGGAATGTGGGACAAGCAGTGACATGTTTGCCTGTTGCCAACATGCACGGCACAACTTTTTTTGCATGAGACAAAATTGTCATGCAATTTCAGTGTATGGGTACGATTGGTCTATTGTGAGAATTAAGTACTGCCCTTTTTGCACGCAATTAGTTGTATTGACCCATCAACCCGTAATACCCATACACTGGAAATTGAATGAGGTTTTTTGTCTCACGCAAAAAAAACACTGCGCCGTGTATGTTTGCCTTCAGTGAAATTGTTTCTCACTACAGTCCCCTTAGATTAGCCAATACAGGAAAGACATTGCAGAGTTAATGATAATGATTTTAAAAATGTGCCGTGCATGTTGGTCTTTAGTGAAATTTACTGTCCCCTTTGATTAGACGATACTGGAAAGACGATTTTGCGTGAAGACCTTGCAAGAGTCATCTCCATGGAGAGGAGTCCAGTCGGCTCCACCTCCTGTGCAAATACTTCGCTGCCAATCTCCATCAACCGCACATGCTCCAACACTCCCTGTATAATATGTACATGTGTATGGACACACGTAATTATATTCAATCAGGGGAGGGGCGCGAGGGGAATGAGTGCTGAGTATGAAAGGGGTGGGAACTTGGGAAAACAAGTATGCTTTGTGAATTATGGGCAAAGCTAATGCCCAACTGCTCTTTATACTTCTCTTCTCGGGCTTCAACTGTACATTTGCTATCCTTCCTCTCCTGATGCATTTAAAAGGCAATTTTCACACAATCACTAGAAAGTCAACTGGTACTACACCCAGGTCACCGCCTTTTCAAAGATAAAAAAAGAGCTGCCCCAGGTGGGACTCCAACCCACGACCCTCCCACATTCTAGGCCGAGCGCTCTACGCAGCAGGTAGGGGCTCAAATCGACAGTGTAACTAACATTGAGAACTTGTTTCATCTTGGAGCGATCGTTCTCAGTCCACTGTTTGACACTGCTCTGGACTCCGGCCTTGGCCTGACCCCAGGCGAGTACACCTCTCCACACATCCTCCTCGGAGGCCGTCAACTACACATGTACAAATACATAGATCTTACATGTAGCTCTCTTTCTGCCCTAATTTTCATCTTTCTCCTTGTGAAGGTGTAAACTGTGTTTAACGATTTAAGGTTTCTGATGTTTTGCTCCCTCCCTTCATCTGCTATTATCTGGTAATCTGAAACTTACATAACTTATGTCTTGAAATTTAATAGTGACTATAATGCTCTGCCTAAATTCAGGTATATACTCTCATTTCTCCATCACGTGCACACACAATAATAATGCGGACAGTTGAAAGGGGAGAAGGGTTAACATGTTGAAGTTATACTCTGAGACAGACACCTCATGTTCATATGGTGTATGTTCGTTTGTTAACGGTTCCGCCCATTGCTCTGGGTGCGTGGTCTATGGTGAAGTTATACTCAGTTAGTTAGTGCAATGACAAAACATGCATGCAACTGACAAACACAGCTGTTTTGACCATCATAGCTGCTGCCCATATATTCATTGTGAAATCAAGCTCATGTATATCATTAATGAAGAAGAGCAATAAACTGTGTAATGGGAGGAGAGACTGTGCGCATGCATTGCATGTATGATGAGAAGATTTAAATTCTGACACTACTATCACTGGACGCTGAAGAATGGCGGGTCTTTTTTCTGAGAACGTTCACAATTCGTTTCAGTTGTTCAGCTCTATCAAACTCTTGCTGTACCTTCACGGCGAGTTCGTTTCTCTCTTTAACGACCTGGTTCCGTTCCACGATGGCCATATTCCGTTCCACTACTATCTCCTCAATAGTGGAGTGCGCTGCCTCTAGTTCGACCTTGTAGCGTTGGACCTCGAGTTCGTACGATCGTGTTACCTCCTCTTCCTTCTTGAGCGACTTTTGCAGGGAGTTTACAATCTTTAGAGTCTCTATCATGTCCTCTAGTTTGCTCGACCTTTCCTGCCACTGGTCTCGCTCCTGGAGAGTGGCCTCTAGCTGTGCCTGCAGTGCCTTGATCCTGGTCTTATCCACCAGTTTGTACTCTGTCTCCATCATCTCCAGTCGCCGCTGCAGTCGAGCCACGTCGAACACAAGTTCCCTTGCCCTCTTCTCAACTGCCGCTTTCTCCGATTGCAGAGACTGAAGCTTTTCCCGGATCTTTCCGTCGCGTTCCTCCTTCAGCGCTTTCACCTTGGCTACGAGAATGGCCCCGTGGTGTTTCAACTCGTGGGGATCCTGGGTCGCTCTCATCCCCTGGAAGATTTCACGGAGTTCCGTGTTTTCGGCTAGTTTTGTGACGTCTTTTCCATGCACTAGCTCCCCGGCTCGCTCCAGTGCTTCCTGTCGCTCTTTTAGGGCCACCCTTAGTTGCGTGGTAAGCACTTTCTCTCGCTCGCGTTGCATGGAACTGAGACGCTTCATCAGCTCCGCACTCTGCGCCGCCACCCGGGCGCTGTTGGTCGTCTCCAGGCGCAGCTGAGCCAGTCTCAGTCGCTGGACCTCCACCTCGCTCTCATGCAGTCTGGTGGACAGTTCCTCGTTTCGCTCTTCCGTCTCCCGCAGCAGGCCCACTAGCGGCTCTCCGCCGCTCGTCGTCCCTGCCTCGGCCGTGACCGCGGCCGCACTCGAGCACGGAATCGTAGAAGAGGAAGTAGCGGAGGAGGCGGACAGTTGCTCTAGGCGCTGCTCCGCGGCGCGGAGTCTCTTTGCCTGTTGGTCCTTTTCCGAGTTGAGCAACTTCCTGAGTGCTATTTCTTTATTCAGCTCCAGGGACTTGTCCTGGAGCTGTCTCTTGAGCTCCTCCAGCTCTGAACTCGTCTCTCTCTCAGCTTTGCCGCTATCACCACCGTTTGCCTCCATTCTCGATCGTGTACTAAAAGAGGGCGGGTCTGGTACTAGTTCACGCATGCGCAATCCGTTCATGTTCACTGCCCACCACTCGTTGACCCCTAGCAGGCTACACCCATAAAGAAACGACTCTGCTGGGCTGCAGAGAATGGCGGAGACGCAACAGAAGCAAGAGCCACGTACGGAGTGGCCGGAGCTGGTGGGCAAACCGGGCGAGGAGGCGAAGGAGGTGATCCTGGCCACGGGAGGTCCGGGCATCAAGACCGTAGACATTCTCCCAGAGGACGCGTTAACCACCGCCGATTTCCGTACGGACCGGGTCCGCGTGTTCGTCGATTCCAGCGGTAAAGTCGTCGAACCTCCCAGGGTCGGCTGAGAGCTAGAGAGAGAGACATTCTATTTCCTGTCTCATTACCGTGGAATTTGCAGTAAATATTGTGTATTTGGTATAAACAGCCGCTGGATTCCAGACAGAATTAGGTCGAATTTCCACGGGAGCGGTCTCTCCAGGATGTAGCATGTAAAGCAGTACATAATTGAATGCTAATTGCTGGCACATCCTCGGAGCGCTAGCGACCACACAGGCGGTAAGGTCTAGTTATGCACTTGATGATGCAAAGAGATATTAATGTTGCCTGCATGAACCGCCTAATAGCGTAAACATGTCCCCAACAACTCTTTACGCATGGGCAGAGACGTAACAATTTGACAGCATACAGTATGCATTCACTCAGAGGTAAGTACTACATATGTTATTAAAAAACAGCGTCAGCTTTAATGTATGTACAACATGCAAGAAGGCAAACCCCAATTGTACTTATATGTGCTCTAAGTGTACTATAGCCTGTTTACCTTTGCCTCAGCCAAGTTATTGTACTGAAAATGATGGTTGTGGCCAATCATTGCCACTACAACCTACCCAATGCTGCCAAAGCAGTCATCCATGCGCTTACCAATAGCACATTATATGGTCAATAGCCCAGTGATAAAACATTTACCGTGTGAACTCAATGTTCCAAACCAATCCTTTATACTGGACTCCCCAGCCCACCCGTTGCGTGCACGTGAGAATAATGCATGAATGTGTACCTTGCTGCTCTGAATGACGGACAATAGGGTCTCCTTTGGGAGTTGGAGAAATCCCTTCGACTTGAACACGGCCCGCGTGTTGGTCTCGATGTACTCCATGCAGCACTGCTCCACCTCGCGTACCACACTCCCCTCCTCCTCCTCCTCCTCCCCCTCTCCCTCCTCGGCCATCAGGGCGGAGTGGGCAGAGATGAGGGTGGAGCAGGCGGAGTCAGCCGTGATCCCGCCCGCCAGGGTCTTGAGGCAGTAGGTCTTTAGCTCCGGGAGACCCAGCTCCAGAGCAGCCACTATTGTCTGGATAAGAGGTTCTGGACTGGATCCACAGTCCACCTATAGCAACAGTTTGTGTGTGTTTGTATGTGTGGTGTGTGTGAAAGAAAGGTGTATTGCAGGGTAGACTCCTTCCATATTGGTGCAATATTACCAGTAACCAGATACCTTGCAATGCAGTAATGCCAGCTGACGTGCAACGCTAGATGAACAGGCACCCATGCAAGTGCATGTAAAGAGCAAAGTCGCAGTTTCCCTAGTGTGCACGACGCAGCTCACCTGGCCAGTGTAGAGGTAGCGCACGACCCGTCGCGCCGTCTCCGGTTCCGTCCGCTCCAGTTTGACCGTCACCAGCGGCGAGTTGGCCGCCAACCACTGCTGTTTCTTGTTCCGGTAGCGCCGGCAGCGACACAGGACGATGAGCCGGTGCGCGCGGATCCTCTCGGGCTTCCCTCTGCCGCCGCCAGCGACGAACTCCAGGTCCGCTGAGTCTCGGTCGTCATGAAGGAGCTCCAGATCCTGGATCAGATACTTCTGGAGATCTCCGGCCATCGGGAACCGGTCTTGCGTGGCTGGGCAGTAGTAGTTGGCGAGTCTGTACGTTAAGCGCTTTTGTGTATTGGTGGGGACTAATTGGAATTGGCTGGTGTGCAATAATTGGGTTAGCTTTGGAGCAGTGGCGGACGTTGGCAGGTGTGGGGTAGTCGAGTGCGAGGGAGTCTGGCTGCCATAAATGCCCAAAGGAGGAAAGGCGGGCGGTGGTGGCAAGGGAGGAGGGAAGGCGGCTGCGGCGGGAGGCAGTAAAAGTGGGGGTGGGAGCAAATCAAAGAGCAAAGGTTAGCTTTGGCACCACACACATGTGGCTAGCTTTACACAGCTTGTATGTTGGAGTGACCAATCATTAAGTGATTAGTCTACTGGCAAGTCGAATGTTTGTTGTTAACTCTGCTGCAGGGGCAGAGGTTGGCGATGACTCCAGTGGTGGCGGTAAGACCAAGAAAGGGGGCACAGCCGTGAAGGTAAATCAACGCAACGTATCCCATCTCTCTACAGTGGAATCTTTGATAAGGGACCCTCTGAGATAGAGACGACCTCTCTACAAAGCACACTTGTTTCTACTCCATGCTAATACTTCAGTGTATTATTTTTTCTTCCGGGATAGGGGCGACCTCTCTACAAGGGACAAATTCGTTGGCCCCATAGTGTCCCTTGTTCTTAGGTTCCACTGTATATATATATATACCTGAAGTATACCACCACCTTGTATGTTTGTAGCAGTGGAACAGTAGTCCATATGATTGCTTAATTGACCAAGTCCAATTATTGGTAGGTGAGGCATATTCTGTGTGAAAAGCACTCGAAAGTCATGGAGGCCATGCAGAAGCTGAAGGAAGGTCAGAGATTCAGTGAAGTTGCGACTGCCTACAGCGAGGACAAAGCCAGGCAGGGGGTACACTTTCCTCAGATTTCTCCTCTTCCTTATTCCACTGACCCTCGTGCTTTTATCTCGAGTTTTTTTTTTACTTCTTCCTGCTTCTGTATGTCTTTATTCTCATTTTATCTTTCACTGGGTTGTCTTACCAACTCCCTCTCTTTTCTCTTTCTACTTCCTTCTTATGTCATTTATCCTCTCATTTTTCACTGGGTTGTCTTATATATCTTTTCCTTTTCCTTGCTTTCTTTACTCTATCTAACCTCTATCTTTGCCCTTTTAAAAACAGTGATGTAATAGTGATGTAAGGCGTTTTTCCTCGTTGGCAACACTGCACTAGACATCTATGTCTCTCCCTATATATATAGTTCCTTTTCTTCTCTTTCACTGGCTTGTTTCACCAGTTTCCTCCCCTCTCCCTCCCCACTCCCACCACCACCCAGGGTGACCTGGGCTGGATGACACGGGGTTCCATGGTAGGACCATTCCAGGATGCTGCCTTTCAGCTGCAGCCCAGCACAGTCGACTCCCCTAGCTACACGGACCCTCCAATCAGAACCAAATTTGGCTACCACATCATCATGATAGAGGGGAAGCGATAACCCTTGGTTCTGCTCACTCTGCGTGTTTGTGTTGTTGTTCTATTTGGCATGCAAAAGTGTACAATACCAGTGGAATTTCTGAATTATTTCTTTAGGATAAAATAACCATTTTTCCAATTATCCGTGTACACATTACACAATTACCCTGTTATCTCTGTGTTTAGTTTTCATCGTCAGTTCATACATTTTGTAAACTTTGTGGGGAAGAAAAAATGAGTGGATTATGCGCTGTTGGTCTGTGTGTTTGCTTCACTATGCCGGCGGTAGCTATAGCTAGCTATATAGCTGCCATAATGGGTATCAGTATAAACATGTGCTCTTGTCAAGGTGCAGTGTTCTCCTGCCATGAAGCAGGCACCCACTGCTGTTCCTGTGCCAATCTGTCCACCAGGGCTATCACTTCGTCTCTGGCACTCTCCACGTCGTGGAAGTGAATGTTGTGGTCAAAGTATCGCCCGTAGGTGTCCTCCAGGTGCCTCGCCTGACGAACCACATCGTGTATGTGAGATTCCTGCATGTGGTTAAAGAAGGTGTCATGCCTAGCTCATGAAAGCACTATTATAGTACTACTAGAACGAATGAATGCATTTGGTGAGCTAACACGGGTAGTTTAATTTTTCGAGCTCATGTTTAGATATACAGTGCCCGTCACATAAAAATCTGCATTGAGATGACTATATAGGTAGGCTCGCTTTGCTCGCCAACCATAATTATACAAATGCAAAACCATTGGTGCTAAAGAAATGTGAGTATGGAATTGGATGGACTGTGAAAATAGCCTGAGAGCTGATAGTGCCCTGGACCATTTCTCAGCTTCAGATGCTGCGTTTAGGGGCTAAACATCATACTTAAAGGGAACGTATCAGTATACATCGTATAGGTTTGATGATGGCAAGTAAGTGCGCAGCGGGAATAGAGCATACTTGCCAACATCAAACCTATGTTTCTCCAGCACAAATTCCCTATAAGGAAAGCAAAGTGGGTTGACTCAGCCCTCTGCTGTTAGTGGTAGTACAGCTAAGTGGCTGCTACTACTGGCCAATAAATCATACCCTATAATGCGCCATTGCTGGGGTAACATATACCAAAAGGAGTAAGGACTACAATTGAGAAACTTGTAACATAAGTGCATTCTTGCAGTGGGTCCAATAAATTGTTAATCCTAGATAAAGGGGAGAAGAGAAAACGGTGGAAATATTGGTAGTGAAGTTTGTTTGCCAGTGAGCCTGTTTAAAAAAGAACATCCCTTATGTGCTGCCGCATTTCATACTAGTGACTGCTAACTTTGATATGTCCGGACGGCACCCAGTTCTCCTTCATCTCCTCAATGGTGGGGGCTCTGCAGTAGGCAACAAACGGCTTCAGCTCCCCTGTCCTCACAAGCTTGATGGCCTGTTGCATGGAGAGATGAAAGAAAACCACTGCAAGGGACAGTCAAATGGCTGACGGTTCTTTTGTAGTTGTGTTTATGCCTGGCACCCACTAGACAAAGGAAACAGGACCTACCATCCAAGTTGACTATCTAAAGGACAACTGCAATTTTCTCACTGCACTGTTTGTTTGACACCTTTTTAGTGGTCTTCTTACTAAAATATTGGTAGTCAAGAGAATGACGGTCTTTGTCTTATGCCTGGCACCCAGTACAAAGGAATGGAGAGAACTGAACCTCTGATCTCAGGCCCTCCAGGTTGACTATCCCAATAACTAAGACGACTGCAATTTCTTGCAAAGTCTTTCTGCGCCGTTTGACCTTTCAAGTAGTCTGCTCTTCTGCATATTTTATCGCTTTTTGCCGCACCATGTGGTGTTCCAGCAGGCACTGCGCTTTTGTGTAAATGTCAGTGTGCACTAGCTTGTGGGTGGGCACTGCTTTAGATTGTGATGTAAATGTCAGGGCTGGTACCAGAGTGCACCAGGGGGGCATAGTCCCTCTATCTCTTCATTTGTCCCCCTAAATATGCTTCCCAGGGGACACTTTGACCCCCCACAATAGAAGTAGTATATAGGCGTGCTGTTATTGGGACCACCTAAATTTGTTGCTAGGGGCCCCGATTGTCCCTCGGCAATAACTCTCTGGAGCTATAATATAGCTCAGTAAAAGGTGCTATAATTTCTGGAACACTAGGGTGTGTGTGTGTGTGTGTGTGTGTGGTGCTGACCGAGGGAATAAGGACGAGGATGCATGTTCTCCCAGAGTCAATGATACTGCGAATGGACCTGATGCTGGTGCCATAGTAGTGGCCGCTGAAGTAGCCGTGCTCCACGTAATGGTTGTTGCGAATGTCTCGCTCCATCCGTTGACGGGAGACAAACTCATACTGTCCTCTCTCTTCTTCTCTCGGCTTAGGTGGGCGAGACGTGTCTGTGGGGAGGGAAGACCCGGATTATTGGAAGACGGGGGTTAATTTATTCTGCACTCCCCATGGATGCAAGCTGGGTTCACAATGCATCACATGCACCATGTCGAGAGGATTAATTTCCATTGAGTGGTGCGATGTGAAATCCTTCATTGCATGCACACTGTCAGTAATGTGATTAATAGCCTCCTAGCCTCAAACGTTGCTTGCACTGTTAGCATTAAAGCAATCTAGCTTCACATGTTGCATGCATGGTCAGTAAAGCGGTAATGTAATGATGAAGCTGATTAAGCCTATATAGCTTTGTCTAAGTCTCCAACATTGCATGCACTTTAGGGAAGGGATGTAATTTGTGATTCTATAGCAGCTTTGTTGCTTGGGTACATGCATAGTATATGACTTACCTGTAATTCTCATTACCCTTAGCCAGCCACGGGCATATATATGTATAATATGCCCAGAGCCTCCATAAGTCCATAAGAATTTAAATATGGGTATAATACTAGGCGTTAATATGTTATACATCAATTTCTGCTTATTTAATCCAGCATTATCGTTTGTATACAACAATGTATGTATGTATGTATGGGTATATAGATTTAGTCAGACCTAGAGAGTGCACGAACGAAAATATTTTTGGCTTTGAGCATAGCTGCACCCACAAGGCTATATAGCAGTTCCTGACATGCACTGCCATGACCTGCCTTATTAGTTTTACCATGACCATGAGTAAAAGTATATGTCCATAAACTTTGGTCTTACGTTTTACGGGAGACCCGAATCTCTGTGGGTTGCTCTGGACTATGCGTGCTCGTAAGGTCTCCATATCAAAGGGGCCTCCTCGTGGGGCGACAAGCATGATGGGGCGTGGTTTTCCCAGCTGTGGCTCAATCTTCACCACCCGTTCGTAGGTCACCATTCTCTCGCCTGCTCCTGCAAACCAGCAGTTGACTTTTTTTTACTCCCAAGTACCAAAATTTTACGTACTATTGTCAGTGTATCCCAATTTGTAATGTAGCTAACGGTTACCGCAACTTATAATAAAGGAACATAGGTTGTTCATCTATGATCTGAGCCAATGCAAAAAGGGTGTTTTACCCCTTCCTTGGTTGCCTAGAGCTTTGCCTTATTGCTAAAAAATGGATTCAAGCACACAGTTGGACAAGGCTATGATAGTTTTACGAGCCGTCGTCCTCAAGCTAAACCGCATAATGCACTGCATAGTGTGTTCTGAAGTTTTGCCTCTTACATGTTATTGCACACAAGGATTAGCTTAGAATACTCTCAACTGGTTGCTTAGGGCTTGTGACTATATAGTCTTACCCCCGGTGTCAGAAGGTGAATACATGGACTTTTTGTTCCTTCCTTTCTTCTTTGGTGGTGTCTGTTGGTTCATTTCCTCCAGACACAACAACCTGTAGGGACAGCAGGCACAAGCAGTAGATATGGAATGGTTCTTGAAAAAATATGCAAGCTAAAGAAAGAGGAAGTTCCTATTACCAGTTTTTTTAGAAACTTTAGAACAGGGACTGTCTGATGCAAAGAGCATCAACTTAAAACTTCTGCCAAAAGGCTAATCTTCTCCATGGCACTTGTGTCAATTTCCCTTATCGTGTTGATGCTCTCTTTAGTAACTTACTTTTCCTTCATGAATTTGCTGGGGATGATTCCGGCTTGGGTATTGTTTTTGTTGCTGTACTGGACGGCCTGCCACCAATTCGGGTCGTCCTGATTCACAATGTGCAGGATCTCTCCGTAGTCAAATTTGAGACCAGCTTCGGGGCATGGTGTTTGATTGTCCTGCTGTGGGTCGTAGCTGAAGTAGGTCCTCATGTATGTGGGTGCCTGCAAACAGGGCCAATAGAAAAGGTGGCAATCCCCCAATTTTTAGCAATAGCTCACTGAAAGGGTTGTTAAAGTACCATTATGAAGTATAGCGTTGAAAGAAGTAATGTATGTGTGTACGGAATGCTGGGTGTTAGAGAAAGTGATAGGGGTGGGGAAATGCAGGGGTGGGCATTCCTAAGCCAATGCCGGGGCTCCCCGAACCTCTGGTTGTTGCTCTTAAACGGGTTCTGTACTTTGTACTGTTTGTCTAAGTGGTGTGGATATTTCTCCAGTGAGTAAAGGTTGATCAGTGGCTCTGAAAACGTTTTAAACGTCTGTTTGTGGCTCTATAAAATCGTACTAGTGCCCACCCGTGAAATGTGGCTACAGCTACATGGCACTTGCCAGACAGTCCCTGACCTGTGTCCTTCTCTTTGGTCTGAGGTCAGAGATGGCAGGAGTGATCTTGAACACGACAGTCCCCCGCAGGTCGACCATCAGCTCTGCCACCTGGTCCACCGAGAAACCCCTGACTCCAGTCCCATTGATCTCATGTATGATGTCTCCGGCATGGAGTAGACCTGTACATTGGCCATCAGGGAAACTGTACCAAGTCTTCTGTAGTGTAGCTCATGCCTCACCCGGCTACTACCTGCCTGCTCCCTTATAGGTGTTTTGCAGTGCCGTAGAGTATGGCGTCAGTCCCAGGCTCGCCTTTTGCTTATTCAGGGGAGCCTGGGGACACGGTTAAGGGACACTAGTGTTGCTGGCTGTAGGTAAACACTTAGTTGGTTTGTATAATACTGTACTGCCTTGTGTTGTGTTGTGCTGTAGATTCGAACCCCTACCAGCTGAGTTGACCTGCTAGCTCAGTTGGTAGAGTGCTCGCCTAGACTGGAGGGTTCGAAGCCCACCAAGGGTGGCTATTCTTCTTCTCTTTGAAAAGAAAGAGCTGTCCTGGGTGTAGTTGACTTGTTTGCCATGCCTTTCTACCTCGTTACAAAGTTGTTGAGACATGCATATTTGAAGCTATTAGCTCTCCATTTGAACTCAGGACGAGCGATTTGCTATGCAATTACAGGCTGTTGTCGTATGTAAACTTGCCAATCACCGAAATATGCATTAATAATGGTGGTTTGCAAGCCTTTAGGCTGGCAGGGTACTTGTATCTAGAACTGTATGCGTTGGCTTGCTTGCCAAGGGTTTACATATGTGAGCATGTGGAGATGCTTTGTAGAGTCGAGGTGGAGAGTGGGCATTAGTCCTTAGTTGCTGTACACTACACATCCTATGCTCTTTGTGAGATAATATGAGGGTTTTTACTTACCACTCTTATCTGCTGCACCTCCGTGGAGCACTCGCGATATCAGGACTCGACCGTTTTTACCAGTTTTCACTGTGGCCCCCTGTGAAGACAGAGAGAGATGTGAAGAAGGGTGTACAAGAGAGGTGGGAGTGCAGCAAGGAGAGATGGGAGGGACAATAGGAGGTCTACAATCTTAAAAGTGCAGACTAGAGTGAAGGATGTAAAGAAGGGAGAGGGAGGGAGAAGATATTGGGATTGCTACACAAAACAAAAGCAGAAAAATTGGAAGAGAGTAGTTGTAGAGAGAGACAGAGAGAGAGAGAGAGAGAGAGCTGAGGTCTTCACATTTACCAGTGGATCATTTTGCTTGTCAATTCTGACTCTGGTGACTGATTCCTCGTCCAAGCTGGGCGGCGAACCCTGGGCAGCTGTAGAATACACTGCTGGATACTCCTTGTTTGCCACTCTGTCGTGAACTGACACCAGTGCCTATATTATTATGAAGATGCATGTAAGGTCTGACACATACTAACCAAACACCAGCTGGTAACCATGCTAAAAAAACTTGCTAATACACTAGTTTGGTGTTTGAAATAATTGAGGAGAGAGAACTGAGTATACTTAACCAACACGGGTGCGTGTTACATGCATACATCCATGTGTGGAGAGGTGAGTAGGTCAAATAGCTGCTGAGTCTCTGGGTGTCTGCTGGTCTCCAGATCATAGGCCAGTGAGTGGCAGACTGTGAGGGCATTGGTGCACTTTGCCTCACTTGATGAAGTCGTTGCTGCACTCACTTCATGATGGACCTAGGTTAGATAGGAATGATGTGCACAGAAAGAGGAGTTAGAGAGAGCGTGGAAGTTCCTCCAAAGGTCGGTTGGTAACTAACCTTGATAAGTGAATGGAACTCGTTGCTTTCTACTAGAGCCTGCAAGAACTGAAAGTCGTCTTTCCGTCCCTCGAGACGCGGCGAGAGCTTCTGCAGCGAGTCCAGCAGGCTCAGGATACCTGGACACAGAACGATCGAATAGCGGCTTTTGTGTTGCAGCTAAACCAGCCCCGCCCATATTTTCTCAAAAGTCGCAAATGTTTCGGGATTTTTGGAAGGATTTCTATGCTGCATGCAAGGCTTACTCCTGGTTGCATCTCTGGCGGACATGATGGAGTCTTCCTAGTCTCTGTGCTTGTCTTGGGCGATGTTGAGCTTTGCCGATACGCCCACTTTCTTGCTGAGCACGCGCGCCGCCGAGTATTCATGCATTATGTAACGTTTGTGCGGCCACCCAATGCACAGATCAGGACCGTACTCGGAGGTCCCGCCCAAGAAAGTCTTTGCCTGGGAGCTTCTTGCGATTTTCAGTCGCAGCAGGCAGCCAATTGGAACAGGAGTTTGGAACAACCAACAGTCTCCACCGACTGAAGCTGCGACTGGCGGTCCAAGAAATGGTCTCCCTCACTTCCTCCACGTGTCAGAAATTCCAAACGAAATATTGCTTCATAATTGTAGGTTTTTTATACTACACCCTGCGAATAATTCCTGCATGCCTTCTTCATTGTGTTACTGCATTTCAATAATAATTTATAATAAAAGTGTTTGGTCTGTTTTCCAAAATGTTCTCCCCACCCCGAAATTTTCTCTGTCCTCTGTCCTAAAAATTTTCCCCTCTATTTTTCCTCCCAGACGTCTCTGTATGGTGAGATGGGTCACGCGTGGATTGGTGACTATAATAATTATACCGGTTGCCTAGTCTCGGCCTGCCTCAGTACAAGGTGCATTTACTGTACTGTACACAGTTTGTGTTTATGTGTGATTCAAGTTGTTTATATTAATTTGCTGGAGTTTTGACAGTGGAACCTTCTATAATGCAGATACCAATGGGACAGAATGAAGTGTCCATATTAGTGAGGTGTCTTTATTTCAGGGGTTGAATTGCATGCAAGAACTGTTCTTTGGGAAAGAAAAGGTGTCCATATTAGATAGGTGTCCTTATTTCAGGGTTTGACCAAGAACTGTTCTTGGGGAAAGAAAAGGTGTCCATATTAGTGAGGTGTCCTTTTTTCAGGGGTTGGGAAAGAAAAGCCTTCTTTTCTCATTTTCTCTTTTGTAGCTTCTAATTAACCCTCGGCGCGCATGCGCAGCGAGGGTTACGGTAGTTGTCCCGTAAGTGTGTCAGTCTGTCTGTCTGTCTGTCTGTCTGTTACCACGTTTTCTGCCACCGCACGCATGAAATCAGGTAAATAACGATATGATCGGGTTCAGTGCTACACTGGGTTGATTTTAAAAAAGGCGATTTTCGTAAAAACTACTGTTTTAAAGTTATGGCGTGAAAACCAAGTGAACAAGCCAATATGTAAATTAGCACAAGCTTACCTCGACCGCGTCCGTTCGCTCTGTGTGTCTTGAAGGCACAACAAGTCACAACGAAGGGCATGTATCGACTCATGCATGCTATTTACTACTGTAGCTAACCCGTGCCAGACTCTCCGCGAGCTACTAGCGGGATACCACGAGTAAAGGCATAAATAACCCAGACCATCAATTAGTGGTACCGCACATGCGCAGTTCGCCGAGGGTTTGCACTTTAGTGCTTTTCATTTTTGTATGTATCTCTCTCGCTACCCCCTCCCCCCCTCCCCAATCTCCTCAGGAGGTATTCAAGGTATGTCTAGTGGATGCACAGATGTTGGAATACCTGACGAAGAAAGACCTGCGAACTGCCCTCAAGATGGTGGACACGTCTCACAGAAACAGTCTTCAATACGGCATCTCTGTCCTCAAGAAACTGGACTACAACAGAGCGGTATATCGTATATACATACATGAGCATGTAGCTGACTGTTTGCCGTGCCTTGCCTTTCTACCTCTTTACCAAGTTGTTGAGACATATATGTATAGTGACTGTTGATTACTACTGTACATGTGTAACCAACAACCTCACCCAACTCTCATATAAGTAACCTTGATTTGACTTGACATTACTCTCTCACTACAGTGCTTCTGATTATAAAAGCCAACAAACTCTAGCCTTTAAAATGTATTGCGCCCGAGTTTTTCTATGTGACATTGATTTTTCCACTTGTTCCACTTATTTTTTGGCGCATGCTCAGCCCCACCCTTTTCGGGCTGCAGAGCGAGGGGGAATTTTATTGTCTTGTGCAAAATAATGCTACTGTGTATGCATAATGCATGTGACTGCATGTGCCCCCTTTCTATCTGCTATATACAGGAACTGGAGAGGAGGAGAAGAGCTGTGGATGTCAGAACCAAGAAAGGTAGAACTGCACTTTGGCTCAAATTTCCCAAAGTTGTCAACTGCACACCTGGGGTACTAACAAGGTTTACCGTGTGTGGCGGCGTCCCTCCCTGATCCCGCAAGATAACTGGCCGCTTGCGCAATGTGCACCGCGTGGTATTGAGCATGCGCAGTATGGCTCGTGGGTGTTTGGGGGGCCGGGGGGTCAGTTTGCGCGGTGAAACTGAGCATGCGCACTGCATGTTGCAAGTATAAAATATCGAGGTCCGCGCAGTTCGCGCAGTCGGAGCATCCCGGACGGAGAGGGAGCCCTTGGCTCGTGTATTCACACCGTGTCTAGCTCCTCGCCGTTGCCCGCGAAGTAGTCGGACTATGGGAGGGACGTCGAGACGACCGGATTCTGTGCGGCATCTATACGCGCGCACAGGCCTTGTGTTGACGGAACTCTGCAGCCGGTAAGTTGTGTAGCGCCTGCGGATCTCTCTGCGTTCGCGGAGCAACCTGATCTGCATCGACTGCGAGCTTAGGTCGTGGTTTGTTGTTTCCGCAGCACACCGCGAGTCCTCGCAATTTTTCCACTGCGCAACGCACCAACTTTTTTTTTCCCAAAGCTCGCGGAATACCAGGTCCCGTTTTTAGTCGGTCAACAATTCAGCGGATTTCGATCGCAAGAACGCTGCGACAACAACGCCTAAAACTGCAGCGTTGTCTTGCAATGCGAAATTGACAAATTTTTTTCTGTCGACCTTTGTCTCCAGATGTTTTGGTGTGGACTAACGACCATGTGCAGGAGTGGGTGTGTCAAATAGGACTCGAGGATCACGCGAGACATCTCTCCGAGGAGGGGGCGGGATACACGTTGGAGTCATCGCCCTTGACAACGAGGTGGACCATGAAAGGCTCTCGCTGGCGCTGCAAATACCGCTCAGAGGTATGGGTCCGTATATTCGTCCGTATACTCTCCGCTGATGTGTTACATTGTACATTACAGGGTATATACCTAAAATAGTGTGTATGTGTACAGGCGTTTATAGTTGTAAAAAGTAGTGTAACTTGAGGTGAAACTCTTGAAATATGCGTTTTAGGATGTTTGTGATTTTTTTTACATCAGAATATTTTGCTAACAGCCTGTGTAGAAAGTTTGCAGTAGGAAATGATTTTCGTGTAAGCAGGGTGCGTTGTGGAGTGTGGCCTTTGTATAAGTTATGGGTGATTCTCATGATGGGAGATTAAGAAACATTAGCTCTGATGTATATATATATATACAATAATAGGTGCATTTGGTTTCTGGGCCTATATAGTGCTGGAGTGCCTACAGTGTGCCTTGAGAAGGGGTGAGAGCAATTACAATGCTTTGACGTTTTTGGAAGGAAGGAAATGTTTTTTAAAATTATTATAATGGTCTTCGATTTTTGATGTGGGTAATATTCAGCGGATTTATTGGTGAGCAAGTCCGTGCTTTTGCCAACGTAAATCCCTGTCAGAAGGATGTCTGTCTGATCGAAGAAAGTTTATTAATTTTTTTACTGCGCCACGTGATTTGGTAACTGGCTGGATGTGTTGTGCTGGTCTTCGTGGGTCTGTAGGGTAGCACGGTCAAGGTAAACTTGTGATGTGCATACAATTGCAGGTGTATGGCTATCGTAGTCTCTTTTCTCTGTATATTTTTTTGGTTTCTGTACAGTTGTGGGTATATAAGTCGTGTTTTTGTGAAAGTGAAAAATCAACGTCTATTGTGTCGGAAAAATCAAATATCTACACAGAGTAGTATTATGAGGGATATTTTACCGAGAATGGCATTTTTTTATATTTTTATTTCTGTCTTTAGTAACACTTCTAAATTTGGCCCTTATCTACTGCGATATTCCCTTTCCACCTCTGTGGAGGAACTCGGTGGGCAGTTACTCTCAGGTGCTCATAACTGCTTGGTTCTGTCCTTGTTCATGCCACTTGAGCCACTTTAAGCATTATCTTGTAGGCATCTTTCTCTTCTCTCCCTGACCCCCACCCTCTCACTCCTCACTGGCCCCCCACCTGTCTGTTTAACCTCCTCCTGTCCTCCCTGCCCCAACCTTGAGGCCTGTCCGTTTAACCTCAGAGTGCGGGGATTTGAAGAAAGTCCTTAGCGAGTCATTTTATTCTATTATAGCTCTAAGTCATTGACACCCTCATTTGGGGTGACAGCAAGATTTGGGCGAGATAGGGATAGGTGCAGTGAGATTGACATTAACATTACGTACTCCAACTTTAGTGAAAGCATTAAGCATAGTTGGGTTGTCTCATTTGCTGTTCATGTGCCTACAAAAAATGTGAAATCGTTGACACCCTTATATAGAGGGGACAGCAAAATTTGGACAAGATAGGCATTGTGTAAAGGGCCGACATGTGGCGTGTGACCCTGTTGTCGGGCCCTTCTCAGATCAGCGTCCTCCACCATCTTGTTGGGGGAGGTAATTTTGCCTGAGGCTGACGCTTCGACAACCTTGTCGTCGTCCCGAAATCTGCAAACGGCTCCTCGACGCAGTTGGAGCGACTCTCCAGGAGCAAGTCCCTGCCCTTTGTTTTCAGCCTGTTGTAGCTCTTGTAGAGGGCCTAACTGGTGGCGTATGACCCTGTCGGCCATCCTCAGTTCAGTGTCCTTCATCATCTATGTGGGAGAGACGATTGTGTATGTTAGCAAGGCGGTGAAGTACCCCACTCGTCCCCGATCCCCGTGTGAGGTTGTCCAGGTAGCTATTGATGGGGTCTACGTCGAGGAGATGTTCTTCCTGGACGACCACGGGGTTGAGGGGAAAGAGGTACTTCCCAACGCATCTCGTGAGCTGGGTCGCCGTCTTTTGCCATCGTTCCTCCCGCGTGTGTCTGCAGGTGGGGCCATAAATCCCTCCCTGGGGTAATTGATAGCCGCTTTGTGAGGTAGAATTCTGTGGAGTACTCAACTCGCCCCCATCCCTGAGCCCAATGCTTCCCCTTCCTCCTCCTTAAATTTCAAAGCGTCAAGGGCGTGGACAGTGAATGAATTGTAAGATGCTGTTGTTTGATGTCGGGCTTCTATTGTACCACTCAGAAAAAGTTGAAGTACCGCACCGTAACGGTACCATAACACATTTCCGAGTCCGAGTTTAATAATGAGTAGTGATCTTTCCTCACGTGTTTCGAGCAAGCGCTCTCAGACATAGCTTTTTATTCTTATACTATCACACGTTTGACTTGAATAATCATGTTACGTCTCCACCAAATGGGGCTTAGGGGTTTCCCCTTGTGCCCTAGTGGACGTGTCTGCTTGGGATAATTCTGTAAGTGCACAAGGGGGTTTCCCACACTCCTGGCTTTCACCTGCACCAACAGCATGGAGAGTGAGCCCACTACATGAATCAGCACATAGCACCAGCACGTAGCACTAAGCCACATTCTGGTAGTGATATACACGTAAGCCATGTTTTCGCACACTTTAGGGTGGAACAAGTACAAAAAAACTGCATACTAGTATATGGTGAACACAATTTGAACACTTGGGGGGGGGGACGGGGGCAGAATTAGCTGGAGTTCAGGGTCCATGGCCTTGATACGCTTGGTAGGTGTAAGCATCTCTGCTTCCAGCTTGCGACAGACACGACGGCGGCTTTGTTTTGATCGTGACAATTGAGGTGAAGGTGATGTAAGGGGGAGGGGTGGTGGTGGTAGTTCTGGTGAAGATCTGGCCTGGGATTCCATGAGGTACCGCACCGTACTCTCCAACATTTGGATCTTCTGAGAAAGGAAGTGGTACATGTCTGTTGGTCCCTGTCCAGAATCTCCAATCACCTGCTCTTTCACTTTCTTGGCAAATTCAATTTTTGGCCAGTGTTCGCCGAACACATCAACAGCTTCCGCTTGCTCCATTGCAATTCTCGGTAGAAACAGCTTCTGTACCATGCACAAATTTATGCAGGTGCCTCTGTCCAACAGTGCACCATTCCTCCAGCTAACGGGTGGACTCACCAACACTATCGGAAGATGCATGTTGTAACGGAGAAAACGAGAAGCGTACAGTATCTTCATCCAGGAGAAGTCCAACACTCACTCTGTTTTCCATCAGCCTACCGTTACTGCCGATAGAACACTGATACTGGGCTAGTTGGGTAGCGCTTGGCTCTGGAAAGAGAGACACAGGAGGATTAATAACATGTCCACTTACAAGGTCTATTATACTCACAAACTTCGTGCACTTTCTGAGGGTGCATCTTTTCTTTCTTTTGGCCGACCCTCCATACTCTCTCATGTCTTGGCAATTTCTGCATGTTGCCGCAGTTCTCCCGTAGGCACCCAGGGCACCCACGACACCCCCTGCCCCACCTCTTCGACATGGTGGGACTGTTAAGAGATTTATATGCTATATGCTGCTTGGATAGGGGAAGGATGGCGCATGCGCACTGTACTACAGTAGGTTGCGCAATCCAAGCGCGAGATGGATCTGAGCGCCATGGTGGCATAGCCAATCAGATTATTGGAAGGGCCTAGCAACGCCAAGGGACGAGTTTCAGCAGCAGTCAGTCGCAACAGCAACGGTAACGCGGACATCTCCCTTCTTCTTTCTTCGCCGAGTTCCAGAGACTACGTGGCTCGCCCAGTTGTGCGTCGGTGCTGCTGCTTCTTTGTCGTCGTCGTCTAGCTCACGTCAGAACCCCCGTATAGACTAATGGCTACTGCTCCGGGTGCAACAACTCCAGCGCCAGGAGGGGCGGTTGCGGGGCCGTCGCCGACGGGGAGAGCTGCAACAGCCCCTACTTCGAGCGGTAAGAGTTGCTGATTGGTGCATTGGGGTCGTTGTCGTGGGCATAAGCGAGCATGGGCAGTAAGGTAGTGCGGTCGCGCCGCAGCAGTTGCTACTAGCATGCCATGGGCGGCGAAGCGTTGGGGCAGTTACAGGTGGTGCGGTCGCGCCGCAGCGGTTGCTCTCTAGCTGGAATGCTAAGACTCCTGTAGGCGGTTGGTGTCGTAGTTGTCGCAAGAGACGTTTGTGCATTTTTTTAACCAACTCCTCAAGTTCAGGAGAGGTATACACAGTAGAAACTCCGATAAGAGAGCATGATACCTAAGATATCCTTCTAGGGAATCCACAACAATCTTGGCTTCAAGATGGTGGACTCACACCTAACAGCCCCTCCATATCGAATGCGGCACTGCCGAAGGGCCAGAGGCGGGGCAAGGGGTGTCCTGGGTGTCGACTGTCCCACTCACTCGCAACACACGATTGCTTCTTTCTCGCCGTCGCCTGTTGACCGTTTGTGGGAATGGCAGCAAGGATGATGATCAAACAGTATTGCTACATTTATAAGCCTTCTATAGATGAGAGCAAAGGATTGGTGAACAGGCTTGCGGACTTCACTAGTCTAACAGGCAGTTTGTTCATCAGTGCCCCACTAGTTGTCCGAATCATCAACCAAGATCACCAGTTGGACGATTGCCGTTCAGTTCAGCAGAGTATCAAGAGGAGAATACAGCAAACGAACCGCACTATAGTGCCACAAGGCATAAACTGCCAAAAATATAAATATTCATACGTAGCGTAGGAAGCGTTTTTTCCCCTAGCAACAATTCAATATTACTTTCGCTGCATCATGCGCTTTCGTATAACTTGTTGCAAAGCTCAAGAAAACGACGTGGAAACACCGCGACAGCACCCACATAGATGGAGGTGCACACAGGTGGACTGCAGAAAATGCAAAAACTGCAGAGATTTATGATGGAGATAACGTAGTGACGACCGAGTTGCGCATGCGCTTTACCATCGCCTACGTAATTGTGGTGTTGTTTTCAGCATGGCAATGGGAGATCACCGTGTCATTCTCCTCTCTATCTCCTGGGAGGGCGATTCCGCGCGGTGAACGAGAGACTAGGTTGTCTCACAACTACGGCCTTGTCTTCCGATGGCTGAAGGTAAAATTGTTT